GACACTTTGGGACTCTAGGTCACTAAACACTGAGTTTATTTATTTATCCTTTTGGAAACGGTCTTATGTAGCTCATGTTCTGGAGCTATGCAGCCCAAGGTGGCCTTTAATTCTTGGCAATTCTCTTGCATCAGCCTCCTGAGTGAGACTGGAGGCAGGAGTCACTGGGCTCGGCTTGTTTGACTTTGGATAAGACAGCACACTCTCTTGGCCTCATTTGTAAATTGCAAGTAATAAAAATTATACTTAGGTTGGGTGGTGGTGGCACATGCCTTTAATCCCAGCACTCAGGAGGCAGAGGAAGGCGGATCTCTGTTAGTTCAAGACCAGCCTGATCTACAAGAGCTAGTTCCAGGACAGACTCCAAAGACACAGATAAACCTCATCTGGAAACAAAACAAAACCCTATGCTTAGGGCTGCTTCAAAATTATTTGGCTACCCCTGCAGAGCTTGTTTAGTGTACCTAGCAAATACACAGGGCCATACCCATATTCCTATATCAGGCTGCCTCCTGCCTTATTGCTGAGGACAGCTCAGCTCAGCATGTGCTGGGGCCAGGGAACAGATAGTCAGCAATGGAAGATTCCAAGGAAGCTGCAACCCAAGTGGGTGAAGGCTTGGCCTACCAGGTCTGTGTACTTCACCTGCTTGTGGACACCTGGGACCTTGCCTAGGACTCAGATCTGATGATAAAGTCTCCCCAGGGACTTCAACTCAGTCCCTAAATCTGTAGGAGACAAAACTCCCTTGTATTCCTTTCTAGCCAGGGGTCCTTGAGCTGTAGCATTGCTACACAGAGGGCGGAGCACTGATGTCCCAGGGTGAAAAACAGCAGACATTGTTGGACTCTGGAAGGCTGTTGACTATTTCTTCAGTGGCAGCAGGGGCTCTGCTCTGGAGGTGGTACAGGGATTAGCAGCTTCAATCTGACTTGTGACCCTGGGTTTAAACTCCATTGCTGTTTGCATCTGCAGGGGACAGGACTAATCAACCGGCCAGGCAGGGCCATATAGGTGGTTCATGCCCCTTGATACCTCACTCTGATTTCCACTGTTGCTGACCCTCCCCCTCCCCTCTCATCAGCCTAACAGCTGCAGAGCTAGGAAAAAGACTGAATGGGAGAATGGCCACACAAAGACACTGGCCACTATGGCCCTTTCCTCATGGCTGTACAATGCCTCTCTACCCCCACTAATTCTCAGCCATCTGCCCCTGCCCTTAGGTGTGGGCTTTGCCACCAGACAGGTGGCTAGCATGACCAAGCCTACCACAATCATCGAGAAGAACGGGGACACTATAGTCATAAAGACACACAGCACCTTCAAGAACACAGAGATCAGCTTCCAGCTGGGAGTGCAGTTCGATGAGGTAACGGCAGACGACAGGAAGGTCAAGGTGAGTCCCAGAAGGGGATGCAGGGTACTGAGACACTGTAGGGTAAGAGGCTGGCCCTCGCTTAGCTGCTTGGCTCTGTACCCCAGTGGGTAGGCTGTCATAGATTTAGACTAACCAGGTTCATATAAAGCCTGTTCAGTGCTGGGATGCCCCAGGGGCCAAGTATAACCTCTGGCCTGTTTCCTCCTCATTATCCTGGGCACCTGTCAGCTGCCACTGGAGTGGGCAGCAGAGCCAAGATGTTCTTCTGACCTTGTTCCCAGCCCCAGCTGAATGACCTTGTGCACCAAGGTATGCAGTAGCTCTAAGGACTTCAGCAGCCATGGCTGTGACCTGACATGCTTTAGGAATGATGCCCAGAAGTCAATGCCCTGGACTGAGGACATTCAGGCTCTGTCAGCAAAGGAGGCAGCTGAGAACAAAAGGCTGAGCCCTATTTACAGGTTTCCTCTTCTGCAGCTCCCAGGCTAGGGCACTGACCCTGACAAACTGTTTGCAGGGCCACCAGCTGACAGCCAGAGAGCCATGCTCCAAGATTTGCATTCACCAACATGAATGTTGTAGGTGTTTGTAGTCTCCAAGTATTTATTTCAGGGTATGGGAGGGAGAACCTACCACCATTGTTGCTCAATTACCTCATGGCAGTTTATCTTGTCAGCTTGCTAAAACCTCCCAGCACTGGTCCAGGCACAGAACTCAGGGTTGCTGACATCTATAGCTATAGGTTGTCCCTATACCAGTATCCCCTGCATTGTAACCCTAAAATTGATCTATTTGGCTCTTTCCTCAGCACAGTTGCCTCCATAAAGAACAGGGTAGGTGCAGGTCTTGCTGATGCAGAGAATCTGAAGCCCAGCCCAGGACCACACAACAGGCTAGCAGTGGCTCAGGGATGGTGCCCTGAGATGACAATCTAGATTGGATGGAGGAGGCTTAACTAAACCCTTAACTTGTCACCTTTTTGTGGGACCAGATCCCACATTAAATACAATAGTGGCCCTCTGGGATGTTTGGGCCAATAATTAACTGATGAGTTGACAAAAGACAATGGGGAATAAATATGCCATATGGACAACACAAGGCATGAGTGATCAAACACAGCCATCGCCCTTCTTGACTCCTGCTCAACAAACCCTGCTTAGTTCCCTAGTTCTGGCCTTCAGCTCCCAAATTCCTAGAGAAGAGAGATCTGGGGAAGCTGCCAAACCAAACCAGCTGATATAGGCTGGCAGACTAAGAACCAAGGGGCACTGGAGCCAGAGCTGAAGAACACTCCAAGGACACCTGGTCCTGGGACCTTGCAATTGCTGCTCTTTTGACAGTTGAGGGGGTCACGTGATATAAAGGACATCTAATTTTCTGATATATCGAAAGGGTCTTTTAGACACTGATATGCACAAGACTAGAAAGACCTTCTGGATCCCTCTTTGGCTAGTCTCAGAGAAAGGGATGGACTTGAGGGGACTGCTCTTCTGAACTATGTCTCAGCCTGAGCTCCTCTTGGAGGCTTGTGCCAGGGGCTGAGCCACCTGCTGCACCCATTGCCTGAACCCTCCCCCATAGGCGGCCACAAAGCAGGAATCCTGTGTAGCTGTGTTAGAGGTGGGCTGCCTGAATGCTCGCCCTAGCACTAGTTAGGACCAGTTAGGTTCCTGATCTGTCTTGCCTTTCGATTCTGGCTCTGGTCACAGCTTAGACTCTACCTCTTTCCACAGTCAATCGTGACACTGGATGGAGGCAAGCTTGTCCATGTGCAGAAGTGGGACGGGCAGGAGACTACACTTACAAGGGAGCTATGTGATGGGAAACTCATCCTGGTAAGATGGGCAGTGGCGGCGCCTCACAGCGAGTGCCATGTTTTCTTCAGCCCAGGTCCTTCCTGGGGGCCAGAGGAACTAGGACAGAGAAGCAGGGATGGGGGTTCAAGTATCAGCCTAAAGGCTGCCTGACTCTGGACACGTCACCTCTGTAACCGTGAGGACTGCCGGGAAGGCCGTACGCCAAAAGTGCCATCAAAATGGGAAGAATGCAGCAGGTGCCCATAAAAGCTTCTTCTGCCCACTGTTCCCCAAGAAGCAGAAAGCAGGGCCAGTTGGTCCCAGCCTCTGTAGGAGCAGCTGCCACCCCATCCTCTCTTGGGGAGGAATGCAGACATCTGCAGGAGCAGGCTTGTGCCTGGTGGGCACTGCTAGGGAACAGTGCCCTCCTTATTCACCCACTTGTCTATTTCTGGCTTTCTGCAAATACCTCTGGTCTAGACAGGGCGGGATACAACCAGGCCTGCAGATCTGCTTTGGGACAAGTTTGAGAGCTTCACCGGGAGAATGTAGCCTTGTAGCATGGCCCCTGCACCAGAAGCATGGAGAGCACTCTCAGCACCACACACCTGTGGCCCAGTGGAACCTGCTATTGCACCGGAGTCACATGGGCCTGGGGTCCCCACTGAGTTAGGAGTGAGGTGCCCCTAGCTCTGATGGGGAGGTAACAAACAGGACCATATTCACTGGGCAGTTAAGACTACAGTGACTGCTTGGCTTTCTTGTATCACAATAATGGGTGGTTACAAGAGGGGGAAAAAGTTGGTAGGTTTCTTCTAAGGGTCCGTTTTCTCAAACATCTTTAAAATGGGAATTATAACACCTATCTTAAAAGATCTGTATCAGAAAGAAACTCCTGGCATACAACAGGTGTCCAAGTGCTGACCAGGATGAGGGTGGGGACATTCCCTTTCTTATTCCCTCTCTTGCTCTGCCCTGTCTGACTCTATCTTTCCTTCCAGACACTCACCCATGGCAATGTGGTGAGCACCCGAACTTACGAGAAGGAGGCGTGACGCTGCTGCACCTCGCTGACTGTTCCTCTGCCAGCTGGCTACCCCTTTGACTCAGCACCATGTTGCCTCATCTTTTTCCTCTGGTGTTTGTATAAATACACTTTGGCTGGGATTTTTCTGGAGATTGGGGCACCAGCCTGTATCCAAGTTCTCATTGTGTGTGTGGTTTATTTTTTAAAACTGTACCCAAAGGGTGCTCCGAGGTCAATAAAGCAGAGCCAAGGCCACCCAGTTGCTTTTGCCTTTGGTCTTCCTTTCCTGTGTGTCTTAGGCTGAAATGACAGCCTGTGGTTCACTCGGTAAACAACTCTGGTAAGGAGCCCAGATGGACAGTCTCTCGACACTGGTGAGGCCACAACAGCCTTGTGCAACACCATGGTCGGATGAGCTAGCTGTCTGAGGGCCACTTCACGCCCACTCTGCACACCTACTCCTGGATTGGCTCTGCTGTGTGCTGTGCTCTTGGAGGACAGGCTCAGGACAGGGTCCAGGGACCACTGTGGTGGGAGGTGACTGCTAACTTCCCATTCATGCCCCAGTGGGCCCCTAAGGTTATATCTTACTGGTTTTCTAATCAGCCCAGGTAAAGAGGTCTTAACTATAGAGGCGAGAGCTTTTAAGTGACCAAGAAAGCTGTGACTTGCCATTGGCTTCGTGCCTCAGCTTGGCCTCTTTTCAGGGTCTCGAATAACATAGTGTTTTCTGTGAACTAAATGTGTTAGGTCTATAAGTTCCCCAGGAAGGATTACAGGAATAAAGCCTTCTGGAAAGTTTAAAACCAAACGCATTTCCGTTTATGCCAGGAATTTAAGCAGAGACCTGAAATGGAACCAGTCACTCACATGGCGATAGACAGAAAGCAGAACAATGACCTTGGCTTCAGATCTCTGGTTCAGCAGTCACTGCAAAGACTGTTCTCTGCACACAGCCTTCACTTTGAGCACAGGATGAGAGAATGGAGACGGGAACAACACTCCTCCCTCCCGCCTCTATTAGAGGCGGCAGAGTCCACTCACAACTGACCACAGACAGTAGGCAAGCAGGGGCTGCTCACTTCGCTCCCCCACCACAGCCAGGCCCACCTCTACAGCCGCACTTGTGGCTCTAGCCTGGACCCCTGCAAAGGAATTTAGCTCTGGCAGTGGCAGCTGGGGAAGGTACTAGAACCTTCTGCTGAATGAGGAATTCGTGTACACGAATGCAATGGCTGGGGGTTGGGGGTGTCACTTGCAAAGGGATGAGAAGCAATAAGGAAAAAAACATTTTGGGAGCTGCCCTCTAGCTTCTTGCTGCTCAAGGAGAAGCTATCTGAGACCACGGGGACAGAGTCGGTGGGGTAGGAGGCCATATTCTCACTACTGAGTCTTTCCAGGAGCCAGGGCTGCCATGGCCCATCCCACCCTCATTCCTTATGCTTCTTGTGCTTCTTCTTTTTCTTCTTCTTCTTTGTAGCCTTGCTGTCTTTTGATGCATGCCTTGCCTTCTTGCCCATATCACTCTCAGAGTCAGAGCTGTCACAGTCAGATGACTTCTTGTCTCTGTGTTTCTTTTTCTTCTTTTCCTAAGAGGAATGTAAAATTTCAATATGCACGTGTCGTGTCTCTCCTTTAATATCAAAACCACAGCAGACGACCGATAAGTGAGATAGAGCTGAGTGTGGTGCACACCTACGATCCCAGCACTTGGAAAGTGGGAGCGGGAAGATCATGAGTTCAAGGTCAGGAAGAACTGCATAAGACCCTGCAAAAGCTGTACAGTGGTAGTGCACCAAGCAGATCGCTGAGTTTGAGGCCAGCCTGCTTTACAGAGTAAGTTCCAGGACTGCCAGAACTACACAGAGAAACCTGTCTCAAAAAACCAAAACCAAACCAAAAACCCTGCAAAAAGAAACCTGGGCAAAGATACACACGCCTTTAAGTCCAGTGCTACAGGGGCAGATTTGGGAGGGTATACACAGTAAGCTTCAGACTAGCTAGGCTATAAAATGCAGTAAAATCCCAAATGAAAGACAGAGAGACAGAAAGAGAGAACTACAACACACAACACTTGTAGATTTTATCGTACTTATACCGTGTTGAAACTGTGCTGATGTGTACAACATGGACATACTACCATGCTTACAAACACACACTTATTTAATGCCCAGAAGACTCCTGGAGCTGGAGTTAGTTGCAGGTGAGTGTGAGACGCCCAGTGTGGGCTCTGGGAACTGAACTCCACCAGCACATGTACTTTTAGCCACGAGGCATCTCTCCAGTCCAATGCTTCTGTTTTAAAAAAACTAGCACCTACTCTTTCCTGCTTTGTAATGGGGGATGTCCTTCTGTATGCTGTGAATATGTTTCTCTTATCGGTTGATGGACAGGCAGGATTTAGCCAGGTGGGAAATCCAAACAGGGACAGAGAAAGGTAGTAGGCGGAGTCAAAGAGACCGTGTAGCTACTGTGAAGGTAGGACACCCAGGCATTCTCCGATAAGGTAAGGCCACATGGAGACACACAGATTAATAGTTATGGGTTAGTAATTAAGAGACAACTAGCCAATAAGAAGCCTGAACCATCAGTCAGTTTATAATTTATATAAGCCTCTATGTGTGTTCATTCGGAACTAAACGGTTTTGGGACTGGGCGGGACAGAAATATGTCCACAGTGCTGGGACTCGAGCCCCTCCCTCCCCCCAATACATGCTGAGCATGGAAGATGGATCTCAGTGAAGGATCTCCTGTTTGCCTGCATGACCTACCAGGTGTCACACAGACCTAGCCCTGAGTTCTACTTACTTTTCTATAGCCTTGGCAAGTCATCTCACCTCACTGAGGTCTAGCTGCTACAAATGGAAAACAGATAAGAATAGCACCCATGTCACATGGCTGTGATGATTCAATGAAATAGTATCCATGTCGTCGAGAAGCTGAAAGCACCTGTCCCAGATTAAAGAGGCAGAGTTGAAATCTGTGTGTACATGATGGAAAGGAAGTATCTCCTGAGAAGAGCATGCCCTCTCCCATGAAGGTGACAGGGTGCCTCACAGTATGGTGGTCAGAATAGCAATCTTAGAGTAAGACAATTAAATTCCAGCTCTGCCACTTGAGTCACCGGTCACTGGGACAAAGGACTTGTTCAAACAGTATTTACTTTGAAAGAATGATATGCGAATAAGTTCTAAGCCTGACACATTTCAGGCACCCAGCAATACCTAACACTCTCCTTACACCCAGCTCTGGGAGGCTGAGCCCACAACTTTGCATACCAGCCAAGTGCTCTCCCACGGACTAACATCTCCACCAACTACAAATATTGCTTTTTATTTCAGTAATTTCCAGGGTCTTCTCACTGTCTCAGCAAATAAGCCAAAGTTTTCTTCAATAAATATTGTAGAGAGTAGAGAAAATGCTCTAACAATCATGGATGGGAGCAGCTGAAAGGTGGCAAGTCCATGGTTTGGTTTAAGTTTGGCACCTTCCTGGGTACTGTGGGCTTGAGAGTCCTGGCAAAATAAATAAGCCCATAGCCTGGGAGGGGAAAGAGAAGCACAATACTGCTTTCAGATCCCTTATAATAATCTGCTGGCATTTTTAGTTTAGTTTTTGTATTTTCAGACAGTTTCACTATTTGCCCAGGCTGGCCTGGGACTCATGATGTAGACTGGTCTAGCCTGTCCATTCTGCTTTCCCCAGTGCTGTGATTACTGGCACATCATCCTCATGCCTCATCTCCACTAACTTACCTGTAAGTGCTCTCAGAGACATAAGAGCATCGACACACAGATGACTCCCTTATCTTTTGCTTTAGCTTCTGCCCTGAACCTGAAGTGTATCAAATGCCTACTTCACAGTATACTCAGGTACGCGACAGGCACCTCAGTCCCTACACCTAGCCCCTCTCTCAAACTTAACCTTGTCCAGCTCCCCTTCCCACCTTCATAGACAGCAATTCAAAGTAAACTCCCTTCCCACTTCCCCACAGGGTCTCTCTGTGCATCCATGGCTGCCCTGATACTCCATCTGTAGACCAGACTGACCTCGAACTCCCAGAGCTCTGCCTGCCTCTGCCTCCCGAGTGCTGGGATTAAAGGTGTCACCACCATGGCCTGGCTCACACTAAAACCTTAACTGCTTCTCGAGTGTCTCTCCTCCAGTTACAGTCCAAACTATTGATGCCATCTTTACCAGACCCCTTCCTACCTTACACCCAATCTCTCAACAGTCTCAACCCCACCTTCAGAATACACCCAAACATCACCTCCTTTCTCATCATCTCTACAGCTTCTCGATAGTACAAGCCCCAGAGCCTTTCATCTGGGTCATCAATGTCTGTCAGCCTGCCTGCTTTTAGCCTTACTTTCTGACCAGCCAGTTTCCATATAGCAGCCAGAACAATCTTCTTAAAAAGGAAGGCAGAGGGCTGGAGAGATGGCTCAGTGGTTAAGAGCACTGTCTGCTCTTCCAAAGGTCCTGAGTTCAATTCCCAGCAACCACAAGGTGGCTCACAGCCATTTGTAATGAGATCTAGTGCCCTCTTCTGGCCTGCAGGGAAAGCATGTAGACAGAACACTGTATACATAATAAATAAATACTAAAAAAAAAAAAGGAAGGCAGAGGCAGGAGGATCTCTGTGAGTTCAAAGCCAGGCTAGTCTACAGAGTGAGTGCTAGGTCATACATAGTGAGACCCTGTTTCCTTACACCAGCAACGAGGCCCTCTGTGGTCTCTAGACTCCTCTCCTTCCACTCACTTTCTTTTATCCTACCCACACTGGCTTCCTCACTGCTCCTCAAGTGTGCCAAGCTCATTCCCAGCCCCCAGCTACTGAACCGCTGAAGTCCTCATTTGCTTCTCCACTTCAGATAAATGTACTTATCCAAACAATACTTTAAAACAAAAAAAATGTTTTGAGAGATAGCCTTGCTATATGCAGACCAGGCAGGCCCTGAACTTGGAATCTCCCTGCCTCAGCTTCTCATGTGCTGAAATAACAAGGGCACACCATTACATGACAATTCAGTGACAGTTCATAAGAGTGGCTTACCCAAATAGCATCCTATCTAAAATGCCAAAACAGGGCTGGGGTGTAGCTCAGTGGCAGAGCACTTAACTACCACGTACAAGGTGCTGGATTCAACCCCTACACCACAAAACAAACAACTCCAGAACTATTTTCTCCGTGGCATTTGCACTACCAGATATATGAATGTCATGTAGTATTTGCTACCAGTTCACTGTATCACCTCCCTTAGATCACAATGCATGCTTTCATTTTGCACTCAGTGACTAGAATAGAGGTTCACAGAACAGAAGTCTCATGAGTGCACAGAGGTAAAGTACGGTGTGTGAGGGAATGGTGGAAGATCATTTTATTTAGGAGATGTGGAAATAAAGTATCTGGGTACAGGGGCTCCACTTGTAATCTTAGTATCCGGTAGAGGGAGAAAGGAAGATCAAGCATTTAAGATCATCCTCCACTACACAGTGAGTCAGAGGCCAGACCATGTCTCAAAAAGGATGGTGGGGGAAGGTGGGAGGGGGAGATGGCTCAGCAGGTAAAGCACTTGCTGTACAAACCTGGTGACTGAGTTCAGCCTCCAGAACCCCCAGAAAGTAGAAGGAGAGAATTGGCTCCAAGAAGCTGTCCTCTGACCTCTAAACATGCATGTACTGGCACATGCATGCCAGCACTCCCACATCATACACACGCTAAAATAACACATTTTTTAAAAAAAAGAACTGGAGGCACCAACAGCTTCTGAGCAGACTGCACTGGGCAGCTCTGTGCTGGCAGGACTGGTAGTCTGTTCTAGATAGGCACCATTAGTTCCCTGGACAGTAGGATAGCATAGCCAATGATGTCCCTACTACTCATTCTTCTGTAAAAGGTGTTGTAGACAGCAATTACATTATCTACATCAAAGGAGACAATTACACTGGAATAAATGTAGCTAGATTTTACTATAATTAGTAGGCAGCCTGGTCCCTAGAGTATGTGTTTCCTCATAATTTAGCACTAATTTATAAAGATCTATGATGATCTATAAGTCAAAAAGTATAGCAATCTCAGACCATAGATTGGAAGGAAGTTATCCAAAGGGGCTGGCAAAATGGCTTAGTAGGTAAAAACATTCCAAATTCTATAGTTGAAAGAGAACCAACTCCCAAAAGACGTACACACACACACACACACACACACACACACACACACACACACACTGGCATATGTGCACCAACCAAACAAATATGCATGCAGACAAATACTCATCCAGATAAAACTAAATAAAATCTCTAAAACACACACACATGATGGGAGACGTCATTCTGTATATGTTTCTCATACTGGTTAATGAATAAAGCACTGTTGGCCAATAGGAAAGCTAGATAGGCGGGACTAGGAGACGAGGAGGAAAGAGGAAGGAGGAAGGAGAGCCAAGATGGAGATTCTGGAGAGAATAGAACCACCAGCAGCCTCTTGCTGGTAAGACCACGTGAAAATACATAGAAATGGGTTAATACTTAAGACAGAGCTAGCCTATAAAAAACAAGTAACTGGCCAACAGAATTGTATCTAATACAGAGTCTCGGTACATTATTTGAGGCTGGCGTGGCGGCGGGTGGATAAAACCATACTCCATACAAATGGCGCCCACATGGCTAATAAAAACTTACACTTAAAATTTAACAAAAGCTTAAAAAAGGGTTTTATTCTGTATATGTTTCTCATACTGGTTAATGAATAAAGCACTGTTGGCCAATAGGAAAGGAAGATAGGAGGGACTAGGAGACAAGGAGGAAATAGAAAGGAGGAAGGAGGGGTCAACATGGAGAGTCTGGAGAGACTAGAACCGCCAGCCACCTCTCACTGGTAAGACCACGTGGAAATACATAGAAATGGATTAATAATTAACACAGAGCTAGCCGATAAAAAAACTAATAACTGGCCAACAAAATTATATCATATACAGAGTCTCTATGTGTTATTTGGGGCTGGCGCGGCGGTGGGACAAGACTTGGTGGCGTGCAAAAAAAAAAAAACCTTACTCCTTACACACACATACACACAAACAAAAACTGGCGAAAGGTAATGTTATTATCTTGTTATATCAAGTGACTAACACTCTCCTGAACAAATGTGAGGCAGAAGCAATATAATTTTAAGATGCTTAAAATATGCCCTCTCTAGGCACAACTACAATGCCAACAGCACTCAGGAGGCCAACAGTAGGGTCACCAGTCCATGGCTAGCCTGGGTATAAGCAATCAGACACAGAGGAGGAGGAAAAGAAGAGAAGGAGGAGAAAGAAGAAGAAGTTCTAGCAGAGAGCTTTGGCAGGACCTAGGAACTAAGTAAATGTGAGACAGAGAATAAAGTAAAGGCATATGGCTTCTCTCTTAGGAGGACATTATTGCTGTTATATAAACAGAAGAGCAGAAACAAGGGTGGTATAACGTGTTTGTCAAAGAGAGTTCATAAAAGAGTATGGGGGGAGGGGGAGTCATGGAAAAATGGTTCATAAATTAAGAGTACTGACAAATAGAGGACCCAGGTTCAATTCCCAGCATCTACATAGAAGCTCACAACCATCTGTAATTACAGTTCAAGGCAACATGACTCTCTCTATGACCTTGGTTGGCACTAAGCATACACGGTGCACAGACATACATGAAGGCAAAACACTCATAGGCAATAAATAATAAAAACAAACATGCCCCCTCCAGCCTGGAGAGATCAGAGATTACACTGGAGTGTTTAAGAGTTGGAGCCAGGTGTTGTGAAGACACCAAAGGTGGAGGCAGGAGGATCAGTTCAAGGTCAACCTGAACTACATAAGGAGTTTGAGCTCAGTCTGAGCTACGAGACTATGTCTCCAAAAAAAGTCAGTATCAATTAGGAACTGACTTGTCATCACTTTCTATTTTGAGAAGCTGGGCATCACCCCAAAGAGAACACTTCCAAAGATCACACAACAATCCCACTCTGCAAATGAAAGAACTATAGTTAGTTTAAACTTACATAGCCAGTCACAAGTTCCCAAGGACCTCAAACTAGGTCTAAAAGACTCAAGCTGAAGTCTAAGAACCTAGGTCAGGGATATGGACAGAATACACAAATCAGTGACTTTCACGCTACTCGGCTAATCCTTCTAATGATAATAGATAGACCCTTTCCTTACCTACAAAAATGAAAATAATCTTTCACTGTAATGATGCCACTGAGGGAAAAGATTATACCAGAACCCTCCACCCTTAAAGATTGCAATGCCTGAAACAAAATCACCACTCAACAATTTTTAAAGGCTGAGTATGGTGGCTCACACCTGCAACCCCAGCATTCAGAAGGCTGAGGTAAGAGGATTGCTGAAAATTCAAAACAGTTGGGGCTGCAGTACAAAACTCAATCTTAAAAGACACCAAAAAAGTTGGGTATGGTGGTGTACATCTGTAACCCCAGCACTCAGGAGGCAGAGGCAGGCGGATCTCTGGTGAGCTTGAGGACGCCCTGGTCTACACAGTTCCAGGACAGGCAGGGCTACATAGTAAGAGATCCTGTTCTCTCCAACTCCTCAAACAACCACCACCACCATAACAGAAGAACAACAAAAGAAAACACAGAAATATCCTACAAGTTAGGAAAATGCCTACTTGCTGACCAAACTACAGCACAGGTCTTTGACTTCTTTGCATAGCATGTTACAAATCTACTTCCATTCCGTACCACAAAAACTAATGTGTGAATCATTGTGCGTGCTCTAAGCAGTAAAGAAGATAACTCCAGAAGACGGGGGTGGGGGGGGGGTGTTCTTCTCTACTGATGGGAACAGATAAGTACTTCCTAGAATACAACTTGATATAATTTATCAAGAGTCTTAAAGTCTTTCTTTTATTTATTTTATTTAGTGTGAGTTGTTTTGCCTATATATGTTATGTGCCACCACATGCATGCTTGGTGCCCATGAAAGTTAGAAGAGGCATCAGAACCCATGGAACTAGAGTTATGGATGGTTGTGAACCACCATGCAGGCTCTGGGAATTAAACCTAGGTCCTTTGCAAGAGCAACAAGTATTCTTAGCCACTGAGCCATTTCTCTAGCCCCCAAAGCCCTAAAGTCTGTCTGTCTCTCTCTCTCTCTCTCTCTCTTTCTCGTGTGTATCTCAGGGGTTTCAAGACAGAGTTTCTTTGTGCAATAGTCCTGGCTGTCCTGGAACTCAATTTGTAAACCAGAATGGTCTTGAACTCAGAGATCCACCTGCCTCTGCCTCCTGAGTGCTACTTTCAATGAGCCCTAAAGTTTTAACTTAGTATGTTTTTGTTTGCTTGTTTTCTTTTGAGACAGAGTATCTCTCTATGTAGCTTTGCTGTCCTGGAAGTCTCCATGTACACCAGGGCAGCCTCCAATTCACAAAGATCCACCAGGCTTCCCCACCCCAAGACAGAGTCACTGTCTGCAGCCCCCAAATGCCTGGAACTTGCTATCTACCTTACTGTGGCCCTGAACTTGTGGTAATCTATCTTCCTCTGCCTCCTGCACACTAAGATTACAGGTGTGAGCTATCACACCTGGTTCCCTTAACTCAGCAATCTTCTTTTAGGATTTATTTTTGTTATTTACAATTATATTTAAGCATATGCAGGCAGGCCACCAGGGGTGTTAGACTTCACTGCATTTGGAGTTACAGGTCATTGAAATTGACACCTGACATGGGTGCTGGAAACTGAACTTAGGTCCTGAGGAAGAACAAGACAAGCTCTTATTCCATGATTCATCTCTCTAGACCCTCACCCCTTTTGAAAAGATAATTTATTTTTATATGTATGGGTGTTTTGTTTGCATGTATACATGTGTACCACATACACATGCACGTAGGTCTAAAGAGGGGTGTTAGGTTTCCTTGGAACTGGAACTACAGGTGGTTGTGTGCCATCATTGGGTACCAGCAACTGAACCCAGGTCTTCTGTAGGAACAGCCAGTGCTTACCTACTGAGTCCTCTCTCCAGCCTCAACCCAGTAAGCTTAATACAGGGATATACCCAAAGAAATGCAAGGAGATATAGCCAGGGTTGAAGTTGGAAGTATTAAGTGTCCAATAATATTAAAATAAATTAATAACCACAGCTAAGCACATTGGCACATCTGGGAGAAGGATCAAGTGTTTACGGAAGAGAACCTGTCTCAAAACTAAATCAATCTCATAGTCACTGAGTGAAACATTACATTATGTGGCTTTTTTTTGTTTGTTCTTGTTTTTTGAGACAGGGTTTCTCTGTGTAGCCCTGACTGGAACTCACTCAGGCCTTGAACTGAGAGATCTGTCCAATATGTGGCTTTGAACATCAAGTGTTTTAAGAACATTTAAGTATAATTAAAAATAAAAATAAAAAACATAGAGAACAAACTACATCTACAATGATCATAATTATATATTATATGCATATATATATTTATATTGCTAGTTAGGAAAAGAATTAGAATATGTCAAAACTGTCAATACAACTCTCTGTGGAAAGAATATGAGACTTTGCTTTTTTCCATTTTCACTATTTCTAAAATGCTTACACAAAGCACTTGCATTTTTAATACCTGCAAAAAACGTCATAAATAAAAGCAAGCCAGCTTTTACCTTCTTTCTTTTTCTGGAAGAATTCTTTGTGGGGTCAGGCTTCTCAATTCCTTCTTCCTTTGCCTCTTCTTTCTCCTCCTCCTCCTCAGGAATCAGAGAATACTTGGTTCCACCTGGCTGCATGAAACAGTCTTTTGCAAAGTGGCCTGTGGAAAATAAACAACGGCTAGAGAGGGAAGGCGCTGCCCTCCTCCACGGGTGGATGCTTCCCTGAGGCTCCTGACAAGGCCCACTGCTTCAAAGATATTACTGAGTTCATCTGGAATGGTGTTTCTGCCACCTCAAGGTGGCAATGCTCACTCGGCCTGAGCCAGGCGAGCAGCTGGTGTTAGAGCGGAGACACTGATGCTGCTTTGGAAACAGCAGAAGGTAAGAGCAAGCTGGCTTGTGCTGCCCTCCGTGAGCAATGAGGCTCATTAATTTTTAAAGGTCTATTTTGGAACTTACTCCTGACAATGAAAGGCTGCTCCAGAGAGCAGGATGCTTAACAGAAGGAACTGAATTGCAGGCCAAGCCCTAAAGGAAGATGGCTGGCAGGAAGTATGCACTCAATCCAAGCCAACACACAGAGAGACAGGCACAGACACCCGGGGTGACTGAGAATTCAGACTGTCAGGTCTGGCAAGGGCCTTAGAGAGTGAAACCCAACACAACACATTTGTATCAGATATGAAGGCCTAGAGTTAAGTAGCTCAGAGTCACAGAACAGCTAAGCAAACACTTAGCTCAGGCTGGACGTCTTCCCGCCTTGTGCTACTTTTGATGCACCAAAGCCAACTATCTTCAACCTGACCTTTGCTGGCTGGGTCAGATTCTACTTCTTGTTATTCATCTCTGCTCTGTGGGGCATCAGGTAAATACAAGTAAGGGAGCTCCACACTGAGCTTGTGGTGGTACAGAGGGTGCCTTTTGTTGTTTCTGAAGATGAGGTTTCTGTTTTATTTTTTTTAATTATATGTATACATGCAAATCTGTATGGGGGTATGTACAGGTGCCCAAGGAGACCAGAAGAGGGCATCTGATTCTCTGAAGTTAGAGCTACAGGAAGTTTCTAGGACACTTCATCTCAAGAGTAGGAAAGTTCATGGAGTAACTACAGAGCTATATGTAAATGAATTTGAGCCTAGAAGTTAGATGGGGCCCGGGAAGGGGACACAGGACAATTTTCCAAATATCTGGAAATAATCCAAATACCAAGTACTACCACAATCTTCTCAGGAGTTATTGCTTCTCTCACTGTTACATTCTCCTTATCTCTCTATATTAATAAAAAAAAGGGGGGCTTAAGACCCCACAAATTCAGGGCTGGAGAGATGGCTCAGCAGTTAAGAGCTATTACAGCAGACCAAGGGTTCGATTCCCAGCACCCACATGGCAGTTAACAACTGTCCGTAACCTCAGTTATAGGATCTGTCACCTTCACACAAACATACACACAGGCAACACCAATGCACATTTAAAAAACAACAGCAGCAGCAACCAAAAAAAAAAAAAAAAAAAAAAAAAAAAAAACCAAATTCAACCAGGACACAAATCTGCTACCAGTCATTGCAGAAAAAAATGAACAAAGCTTGATGGATGGAAAGCTAGGGAGGAGAGGAGAGGTGACAAATTGAGGTCACTCTGAAAATAAGAAGATGGCAATCTCTCTCATTATAGCTCTAATAAGGGAAGTCAGGCTGAAAAGCTTTTAATATTTAAGATTAGAAGAACCCTGAGGAAATAGAGCCAAAAGGAAGTGACAGTCCTCCATCATTATTACAAAAAAAGGACACTGGATTCAGAATTCTGAATGAAGGAGATAAGATGAAGAAGAAAGGATCTAATTTGGATCCTTAGGGAATGTGTCTCCAAATCACTTAATTTCTACAGGAAAGTAATTGTGCTTGAGGGTAAGTGTGGCAGAGGACAGTATGAGTGCAGGCAGCAGTCACTGAAAAACACAAGGAGCTAAACTGACATGGTCTCCTTCTGCCAGCAGAGAGTGCACAGGGGAGGAGACAGAAATGGCAGACTTCCCGTACCTTTGCAGCCACACTTCTTGCAGGTAGTGTTCAGGACAGCCTCAAGGGTGATCTTCTGCCCAGTGTAATCCTGGAAGGAGCGCCTCCGCCTCTCTTCTTGCCTGTAATGAAAGAGGTCCCGACCACTGGCGCTTTTCAGAGAAGTGGCCAGATATATTACAACATAATGCTGCTTGTTGGTTTTCTGTTTTGTTTTTGGCAAGGAAGAGGGAAAGAGAAAAGCATTGGGCAGACCGATACAGTGAAACAGCTCCCCCCCCCCCACACACACACATTTAGAATAGGCTTTGTTTTTGTTTGGCTTTTGGAGAGAGGGTTTCTCTGTGTGGCCCTGGCTGTCCTGGAACCCACTCTGTAGACCAGGCTGGCCTCAAACTCATAAAGATCCACTTGCCTCTGCCTCCTGAGTGCTGGGATTAAAGGTGTGGCCACCAGCGCCTGGCCCAGAATGAGGCTTTGAATGAACAACTATGAATGAGACTAGGTCTTCTCTCAATAATATACAGGAAAAATATTTGAAAGTATAATTGGCAGGTGGTGGTGGCAGCTTTACAGGTGTTCTAAAAATCAAGTCCAAGTTCCTGACAAGACCATGGTGTTGGGGCTTTCAGTTGGTCTCAAACCTACTTCTCCAGTCTCCTCTTTATTTTACTTAGGCCCTGGCCAAGGAGTCAATTTTACTTTTCCCAATGGTTCAGGGCCTGTGTTTAGGCAGATCCCACTCTGAAATGCCCTGCCCTCCCTTACTCTACCTTGACAATGCACTACCCAAACATTCCAAGGTTCCTCTCTTCAAGTCTTCTTCCCTGGGTCCCTAGGCCATAGGTGATTTTTGTTTCTATTCCTGTTACACTTTTAACGAGCATAAGCTCCTGTATAAAAAACACACATGGAAGGCACTTAAAGCAAGTATAAGCTCAGTTTTCAGTTTGAACTTTCCTATACTGGGCAAGATAACAACACAACCAACCTCTCTTAAAACAGACATCGAAGCTGGGCGGTGGTGGTGCATGCCTTTAATCCCCGCACTTGGGAGGCAGAGGAAGGCAGGGTCTCTGGGAGTTTGAGATCACCTTCATCTACAGAGTGAGTTATAGGACAGTCAGGGCTACCCAGAAAAACCCTGTTTCCAAAAACAAAACAAAAACCAATCATCTCACGCTCACTGCTAGTCATCAAGCCTACACCCAGAATAACTGCCATTATTTCTTCTAACAGCACAAAACTACTTTTCTTTTTATAGTAGCTGGCAGTGATGGTACACATCTATAATCCCAGGAATGGGGAGGCTGAGGAGTTTTAAAAGTTCAAGACTGTCTGAGCAATTTAGCAAAGTTTTGTCTCAAAATAAAAGTGTAGAGTACCTGAGATGTTAACACAATTTTAAGAACAAATGCCTAGCATACAAAAAGCTCTGGTTTCAACTTTCAGTACCAAAAGATATATTTTAGCTACACCTACAAACACACACACACACCCTGTATAGTTCTATTGTTCGTGAAACGTGTCCATATTGTTGTCTATAGTTATGAATCATTTATTCTCATTGGTATATGGTATTATTGTGCTGTTGGTAAAAACAAACTAGCCTTGACCTTACTGAGATCCACCTGGTTATTAAACACTTAAAATGTGGCTTGTGTTGACTAATGAGTTAAGATATTAAACTCAATGGAGCTGGAGCACGTTTGTGGGTTAAGAGGGCTTGTTGCTCTTCCAAAGGGCTGGAGTTTAATTCCCAGCACAAAAACAGTGGCTTATAAACCATCTGTAACTCTAATTCCAGGGGAACCAACACCCTCTCCTGGACTCTGAGGGTACCAGACACAAGTGGTATATATACAAACATACATGCAGGTAAAATACCTATACAGATTTAAAAAAAAAAAAAAAAAGGTTAAATTTCACTTACTTATTTCTACTTTTTGGGATACTGAGGGTTGAACCTAGGGCTTTCTCCACACCAGGCAAGCACTAGACTGTAAGCTTCATCCCCAACCCCTTTTCTACTTTTTGTTTTGAATCAGAAGTCTCACCAAGCTGCCTGGGCTAGCTAGGACTACAAGTCTGCACCATCGACCCAGTGATTATATTTTACTTAATTTTCATGAATTTACATTTAAACAGCCCCATGTTATTCATGGCTACCTAGGTGGACAGTGCAGATAAGCATATAATTTAATTTATGAAAATGTTTGCACAAACATCTGGCCTTTGCCCTACATGAATCTAAATGCATAAAGAATAAATTATCTGGTGTGGGTTATACAAATAGGCCCCTTCAAAACATAATAAAGTCTGAATAACAAAATCCAAGGCATGCACTGGGATCATACAGCAAGTTTTCAGGTGTCCTGATTTGAAGAGCAGAGTTCTAGGTGACCCTGAGCCATAGCTTAAACACATCCTCATCATAATCAATCCCAGCACTCTGGGATTCTAACACACCACATGGCCAGCCAGACCTCCCCCATAACAAGGGTCTCATGTTCAGCGCTCACTCTCTGCCCTCATTGATACTGTGTTGGTCAGACTTCATCATAGGTCACAGAGAGCAATGGTTCTCAACCTGTGGGTCGTGAGTTGCTCACACTCTCCGTGATCTCCATGTTTCTGGGTTTTTTCATCCTATCCACTCAGTTCAACTAGTAGTGGTATGTGCCAGTGTTAGTACTGACAGGAGCAAATGAGCAAAGGGCATGTGCCTAAGATGGACTAGGCCTGAGATTCAATCCCCAGCACTATCATAAAATGCTGGACACAACAAGGAAAAGATAGTGAGTGGGGGCCTGGAGAGACAGATTTGATTGGTCACCTTCCCACGACAGGACCCCCTGAAAGTCATTTCATTTCCCAAAGCACCTTTCTTCTGCTTCCCCAAAATGCCATATCCATTCCTTTTTTTTGTTTGTTTGTTTGTTTGAGACAGGGTTTCTATTTATCTTTGGCTGTCTTGAAACCCGCTCTGTAGAACAGGTTGGCCTCGAACTCACAGAGATCCACCTGCCTCTGCCTCCTGAGTGCTGGGATTAAAGGTGAGTGCCACCATGCTCGGCCCATATCCAATCCTTAAGACCTAGGTCATATGTCACCTTCTCTCTAACATCAGGACCTGAAATAAACTCCTCTTCCTCACGCTACACCACTTATACTATCTGGTAACGTTGAACAGATAGTAAATGAATGCTTTGATTTAAAAAAAAAACAAACAAAAAACTAGCCAGGAGAAGTAATGCCAGCCTTAATTCCCAGCATCTGGGAGGCAAAGGCAGGCGCATCTCTCAGTTTGAGGCCAGCCTGGGCTACATAGAGAAACCCTGTCTTGAAAAACCCAAAAAGAAAAAAAAACAAAACAAAACAAACAAACACACACACACACACACACACACAAACTCACACTACAACAGACCTGCCTGATGCCATTTGGCTCAGGTAGGTAGAAGCCACCCACAGGCCAGCTTGGGTCCTCAGGGCCTGGGCTGTCTAACATTCATAGGCCTGCCTGGGTCCTTGTGGCACTGGGCAGGAGGGTGCCATTATGATGAGCAAATGTGTGGTGGAGAAATAGGAATGAGAAGCAAAAGGGTTCATGTGCTGTGGAAAGAGGTAGAATGGACTAAGGGAAGGCTGTGAGGAACAGGAGGATATGGGTAGCCTGCTTGGTGCCATCCGGGCCTGAGTAGGGTGATCCCAGCAGGCCAGGTCTGACCAGCTCAACTACCACCGAGGCCCTTGGGTTGGGCCCACCTTATCATCTACCCCATGTATGTCCTTTGGAACAATACCTGCAGGATCTCCATAACTTGGGGTGGCTGAGGGATATCCAAGAAGGATTTCAGTGAGGGTACAGTAATGATGGTGTACCAGAAACCAGAGACGTCTGAACCAGACCAGTGACTCACTGTGACAAACATTTGTAACTAAAGTTGAGTGGACAAAAGGGTACACTGCTTGACACACCATGGTTCCCAGGGTCCCTAAGAGGAATGAAGAGGTGTTGGAGAGGCGCGAAAGACGGAAGAGCAAAGTGGATCTTTTTGTTTGCTTTGGTTTTAATTTTTTTTTTTTTTTTGTAATTTTCTTTTGGGGAGGTGACATTGCAAGGATGAAATGAGATATGGAGGAACTGGGAAATGAGGAATTAGGGTACACGAGGTAAAACCCCCAAGGAGTCAGTAAAGAAATTATGTTTAAAATAAATCTGCCCAGGACCATGTCTGGAGAACACAGGGTCTGCAACTGAAGCCCTTCCATGCTGCTTTCCTGGATGCACCCACAGTCTGTCGCAAGTTCAGCCACTTGGCTTTGACTAGAAATAGCCTCCACACAGACACATCCTTCAAAAAGAAAGCCTTTCCCTCCCTATCCTTTCTTCTTTTATTTTACTTGTTTATAGGATACCAATATAAGGATGGCTTGAAGATATCCACTTTTTTGTTGTTTTGTTTTGTTTCTCTATGTGCATTGGTGTGAGGGTATTGGATCCCCTGGAATTAGTGTTATAGACAGTTGTGAGCTGTCATGTGGTTGCTGGGAAATGAACCCAGGTCTTCTGGAAGAACAGCTAGTACTCTACACTGCTGAGCTATCTCTCCACACCCAAGAAATTCACAGCTTTTTAACTAGTCTGCAAAGCACAGGGTTCTTTGGGGAACAGGTAGTTTTATTGTACTGCAATCAGTAAATGCCAGACCAGCATTTCTAAGTTGAGTTATAAGAAATCACCACTATAATTGACAAGTGTTTTTGCAAATTAGCAGACATACAAATACATTAATATTTAGCGATAAACTACAGAAATATGAAAAGCTTAGTCACATGGAGTGGCTAGAGACATTGTGGTTGAATAAGGTATATTCTTTAACATTGGGTCCTACACCAAAGGATCTGGCCCATAAAGTTTGCTACATAACCACAGGTTACTCATCTCCAGCTACAAACTAGAAATATGAAGGGAAACAGAAGACTATACTTAACTCACAGGCAGATGTACACCTGCCTTGTGTCTGCTACCCAGTATTTTCTCAATAAATACTACCTCTCTTCTTGTCAGATAAAATGCCTTTGTAGCTGAAACAAATTTTCTCAGAACTATAAAAACATAAGAGCTTCAATTTTTTTTTTCTGCAAAAACATCACATTCAAATTATATCCATTACTCTTTGTGGTTACATTCCTAAGCCAGGATCTCAATATGTAGCCCAGACTAGCCATTGACATCATATCCTCTTGCCTTAGTCTCCCAAATTTAGTTAACTTGCTTGAAACACTGGAAATAGTTAATAAGCCCTCAAGGGAGTGTGTGTGTGTGTGCGCGCGCATGTACACATTATGGAGTTGGGTCTCTCCTTCCACCTTTACATGGATTTCAGGGACTGAGCTCAGATTGGTAGGTTTACACAGCAAGTGCTTTTACACAGTGAACCATTACAACCCCCCCCCCCACACACACACACCAAACAAGGAGTCTCAAAGATTAAGCAACTTCACGACAAAAATTCAATAAAGAGGCAGGAATGATGGTACAGTCTTCAATCTCAGCACTGAAGGGCAGAAGCAGGAGGATCTCTGAGTTAGAAGTCTACCCTGGTATACATAGTGAGTTCCAGAACAGCCAGGGCTTATGTTGAGAGACCCTGTCTCAATAACAACAAATCAATAAAGGGGACAGGGTAGTAGCAGTTTCCCTGGAATTGAGACATTGTCTCTTGGGTAAGGTAAGAGGCTCATGAGACTGGGAGGTAATGTTCTATGTCTGGATGTCTGGGAAAGCTGAAACGTGCCAGATTCACAAAGACCCCTCCCCAGCTTTACACAAACAAAAAATGCTGAAGAGGAGGCTCTGCCCAGCTGGGCTGGAGAAAGAATTTGCAGGCCTGTAGTGCATCCTGTAAGTGATGCAGAGAGCTCTGGGGTTGCATTTCAGTTGAGTTGTCACCAGTGTTGGATTGTGCTTTTTCAGCAATGTGTCTGCTTTTAAGCTACCCGTAGCCCTATAGGGGACCCATGACCAACCTCCTATTTGTAACCCCAGAAAAACTCACTGGTTCAGTCATTCTCAGATGCAGTTATTACTCTGGTCTGCTGTGGACCCCCTTCCTGGGTGATATTACACTGGTGTGTGGCATCTCTCCAGAAAAGTCTCTCACACAGAGGGCTTACCAAGTAAAAGGTGACACACACCTTTTAACCCAGCACTTGGGAGGCAGAGGCAGGTGGATCTCTATAAGTTCAAGGCCAATCTGGTCTACATAACAAGTAGCAGGCTAGCCAGGGGTACATAAAGACCCTCTCTCAAAAACAAACACCTTCCCCTCTCAAACAAAACAAAACCACTTGCCATAAAAGTGTTGAGGCTCTGAGTTATACTCCCAAGGCATGAATGATAGAGGGAGAGAGCTGCTCCCACAAATTGTCCTCTGACCTCCACATGCCCAATAAATAAATCAATGTAATTTTTTCTTTTACAAAAAGAAATTCAATAAGGATTTGAGTCAACAGCAAGTTTGCTGCATCTCTAGACATGACTTAAATCAAGAGAGAACCTTTCATGCTGAAATGAAGGTACTGTGCTCAAAGACAGGAGTCTAACACTCTGCATCTCTGCCCTTCATCAGAGCCAGTGCAACATCACCGAGAGGAGGGGCAAACGACCCCTCTTCACGAGTGCTTGATGCTATCGACTGCAGGGGGGAAGCAGAAAAAGAGAAGGGAAAGAAAACAAACTACCGACAAGACACTCCAGCACTAGATTTGTGGGTGATCATTTCATCCTCCAGCTCCATCAAGTAGGCTGTGTGGGCATGCACACTGGGAGTTTCATGCCACAAAGGCTACACAGTGAGACCCTGCCTCAAAACAGACAAGAAGTGCACTTTATACCGATAAAAACCAAAAGTCATCAAGTCTATAGTACTCATTCATATCACAGCCTACGAACGGTAGCAGTCCCAGCCTCCTCTAAGTTCCTGCAACCTGTACTTGTGGGATTTCAGCTCTTCCGAACCCTTTACCTACTCAATGATAACGTTGTTGGGATCGAGGTCTTTCCCAGTTCCTTGGTTGACAACTTTCATGGAGAGGGACACTTTTATTCTATCATTTTTCATCTGAAAAAGACAAAAGAAGAGTCACCAAAACCCCTGTGTGCGTGTGTGCATGTGTAGGGGGTGTTCATCTGGGTGCATGCATATGTGTATAGAGGTCAAAGATCAACATGAGGGTCATTCTCTGGAGTGGAACCTCTACCTTGTTTTTAGTTTAGTTTTGTTTTTGGGGTTTTTTTGTTTGTTTGTTTGTTTGTTGTTGTTGTTGTTTTTGAGAACTGGAGCTCACCCATTCAGCCAGCCTGGCTAACTAGCCAGCCTCCAGGATCCTCCTGTCTGCCTCTTCTGCACTGGGATCATAGGAGTGCACCACCACACCCAGCTTTCTACTTAGGTGCTAAGGTAACTGAACTCGGGTCTTCATGTTTGCATGGGAAGCATTTACCAACCAAGCTATGTTCCCAAGCCTCCAAACCCCTCAAGAACCTGACTACTGATTTGTAATACCTCAGAGTCAAGCTTGTAATCATCATAACAAACATCATATGGACTAAGCACTAAGTTAACAACACTGGAAATACAAAGAAGTAGAAAAGGCCGACTTAACGTCAGATGAGATACAGGAAATGACCTTTATCCATTCCTATCTTGGAGGTAAAACAGAGGCCAGCTGGCAGTGAGATGGCTCAGTGAGTAAAAAGGTGACTGCTACCAAGCCTAATGACATGAGGAAAGAGGGAGCTCCAGTAAGCTGTCCTTTGGTTTCCATAATATGGCCTGCATGTGGGGACACTGGACAGAGAATAGACATGCACACACCCATGTCTAAGCCTCCCAAATGCTAAAATTACAAGGTTATGCCACCAAACTCAGCTCTGGTTCAACCTTACAGCTACAAAACCTAACCCACTGAAAGCACTCCATTTTTCAGCTTTTAATAGTGTCATGGCTTTCTGCCTGCCATTCCCTGGTAGAACACAGAGGGATGCATTTCTGTGCCTATGCTGCCCATTCCATTAGATGGTGCCAAATCCTAGTGAAAATGACTATAAATTGTGTGTCCTTTCCACTCTGGCCCAAGCTGAAGTGTACCTGACAAGTACTTTTTGAGGCTATGGCAAAGATGAAATCTCCTTTGGGAGATTTCTTTCTGAACCTTGGGAGGAAAGTTTTATGAACACTCACTCCTACCATACTTCTATACTTCATTTTATTTCTCCTAAATCTGCAGGACAGACCACCAGAAGAGACCAACTCAAAGCAGATGACTGGGGCAAGATTTAAAAATAAGAGTGACAGCCATCATGAACATTTACACACTCACCATCAAACAATTCCAACAAAACCCCAGCTTTTTACAATCCTTTCAAACCACATGAAGTTACAGGAAACTTTACCTCTCGGCCAATAAGCTTCACCCACACTTTGTCTCCAACATCTACTATCTCAGAAGGCTTGTCCACACGGCAGGATGACATGTGAGTTCGATGGACCAGACCTGGGCACAAGAAAGAAATAAAAATTTATACTCTGACTACTTGGGTAGAAAAAAGGAAAAGGGGGAATACAGGGAAATTTTTAAATTTCCAATGAAAATGTTATATAGATTAAAACTACAAACTAAACAATTTAAGACCATCTTTTAACCTAATCAACCAACCAACATTGTTTAAATTATCTTACTTTATGGTATGGGTGTTTTGCCTACATATCTATCTGTATACCATGTGTGTGCCTAGTACCCCAAGAAGGTGCTAGATATTCTGTAACTGAAGTTACAGACAGTCGTGAGCTGCCATTTCGATGCTAGGAATCAAAGCCTGGTCCTCTGGGAAAATAGCCAGTGTTTGAACCACTGAGTTGTCTCTCTAGTCCCAATAAATGTTGATTCAGTAACTCCTGGGCTGGGATACAGCTCAGTAGAAGAACTAGGCTGGGGATACAATTCCTAGCACCAAAAGATAGAAGGAAATAAAAAGTAAATGAGACACTATTCAGTGCCATAATATGCAATAAAACAAAAGCAACCACATAAATACAGTGCTAAATTTTGTTTTCTCCCAGCACTCAGGAGGCAGAGGCAGGCAGATCTCTATAAGTTCGAGGCCAGGCTGGTCTACAAAGCTACACAGAGAAACCCTGCCTCAAAAAAACACAGTCTCAGCTGGGTGGTAGTGGCACATGCCTTTGATCCCAGCATTAGGGAGATGGAGGAGGAGGCAGAGGCAGAACTCCCAGAACTCAGTGAGTTCTAGGCCAGTCTGATTTACAGAGTTACAAGACAGCCGGGGCTGTTACATGGCAAAATTCTGTCTTGAAAAACCAACTAACTAACTAAATAAATAGATTTAAATTTTTTTAATGGTCTACATAGCTAAGACTGGCCTACTGACTCAACTACAGATCAGTACCATATATCCTGGCAAAGTACTATTTTTAAATGCATTAAATTGACAACAATGCTCAGAAAACAATAAGCAATACTGGTAAAAACAGAAAAATAAGAAACATCATTTAAGTAAGAATTAACTTTTAGAAGTTACTTAACAATAACTAGCAAAAATGATAAGCCTGGGAGGGGAACAGCACAGGAGCTTGGTGCACTTGCCTAACACATGTAATGTCTTGAGTTTCATCTGACCACCACAAAAATACATTTAAACTATGTAATTAAGATAATTTAAACTTTGGCCAGGCACAGTGCCACATGCCACTCAAAACACAAAGTGCAACAACAAAAAAATTTTAAATTATTCTTAAATTGTGTGTGGACATGTGAGTATGGGTGCCTGAAGAGGCCAGGGTGTCAGATCTCCTGGAGCTGGATTTACAGGTGATTGAAAAACACCTGATGTTCTAGGAATTGAATTTGGATCTTCTGGAAAACAGTCCATGCTTTTAACCGTCAAGCCATGTCCCTTAAAATAACTTAAAAATATTCCTTTCCTGACTGTTGAAGGTGAATTCCTTTAAAGAACAACTTTCTTTTTATATTCCCAGGTAATCCCCAGCTGTGGGCACAAGATAGAGTCTAGTCAATCACAGTCCTATATCTTCCTGACCATAGAAATTGGGTGGTTCAGGGAGAGACACAGAAACCAACATCCATCATCTTTCTCAAAACAGTTCTACCTACTGCACAAAGCTGTCAATACTCATCTTGACCAGCAGGTGGCATGAGTCTGTCAGAGGAAAGTAAAGAACACTAACTCTGTCTTTAGACAGAGCCTAGGAGTATAAATTGAGCTAAACCAGATCTGGTGGCATGCAACTGTAATCCAAACACCTGGGAGAGAGGTCAGAGATTGAGGCCAGCCTGGGCTATGTATGGAAACCCTTTCTTTAAAAGCAAAACAAAACACAAACAACATCTGATACATCTGATACTAACCAAGGATGAAACTACCAATTCCCTAGCAATATTAGCCAAAAAAATGTGCCTGTCCCTTTGCATCTGGAGTTCTGGCTAGCAACCTCTTCTAGGAAACTGACCTAAGAAAATAATAAATTTGGATTGTGCTCTGCACCTTTGACCATGAAGCAGACTCAACCACTTGCCTGAGCCCCGAGTAGCTGGGCTAGACAAATGCTGCCATGCCAGCACAACACATCCAGATGGGAATTTAGAAGCAACCTAACACCCAACACAAGCACAGCAATTACGTCAATCACAATGATGTAATGAGCAGTCTTGCCTAACGAAAAGTTTGAAGAGGAAATTCAGATCCCTGAAGGAAAGGGAAACCTCACACTTTGGTAGTTGGGGCTACAATTGTCCTCTGGTTATTGAAATTCATTCTGTTCCTCTCTCATTTACGTATCATGTAAAGAAAATTAATGTGCCTACGATACCTAACAGTACACTGTATTTCTCCCCTAAAGCTCAAGGTCTACTCACTGAAAGCCACAAGGAAACACTGGAGTCCTTCTCACACCAAGCCATTTCTGGCAGAATAATAGTGAAAAATCAGAAACATTAAAATGATTACTCTCTCAGGTCAAGCGGTAGTCCACACCTTTAATCCCAGCACACGGGAGGCAGAGGCAGGTGGAACTCTGAGTTAGAGGCCAGCCTAGTCTACAAAGCTACACAGAGAAACCCTGTCTCTTAAAAAAAAAAAAATTACTCTCACCCTCTGAAAAAGTCTTTCTTCTATAAATTGCCTTGTTGTGCATGAGGTCTTAGCACAGCAAAAGAAAAACAGCCAGCCAGGGTAGCTATGCAAGCTACATTTGTGCAAGAATACTCAGTACTTTCAAGGCAATAACACTGCCTATCAGAAAACCTGTCAAAAGTATCCCCATCATTAACAATGTGAGACTGCAGTTGTAGTTTAGGAATACAGACAAGAAAAGATCTCAGATGTTTCTGCCTTGTTTTGAGGCCCAGGCTTCCCTCAAACCTATCATCATCCTTAGGCCTCTGTCCCCAGGACTGGGATTGTAGAAGTATGCCACCAATCTAGGCTTTCCCAGCAACACTTCTGATTCAAAGTTGGTTGGATCCATGGACACAGAGTCTGTGGATACATGGTCAACTATAACAGACATGGACTCTGAATGAGTCCATCAGTGCCCTCACACCATAAAGATATGTCCCTATTTTTTATCACTGAGACACATCATCTTTTGTACTAAAAAGCAGGAAGAGCAGTCTGCCTACAGGCAGTGGACTCATGCTGTTCTACTCTAGTAGATGCTCCAAATGCAAAGATACAAAACACTTGACTTTCTCTCCCAAGACTCAATTTCAAGCCTTGTGCATACAAGGCAAGCACTGTTAGCACCGAGCTTTACTCTTGGTTTCTGTGCCTGGATTTCTGACATGAAGCCACACACGCCCAAAGGGCTTATCAAATCTATCATCATGTTCAGTAAACCCAACGTGACACTTAAACAGAATGAGTCCCAACTGAATGTCTGTCAGTAAAAGAAAAAAATAACATAACCCTGATACTTGGAAAGAGCTGGCTACTCAATCACTATATAAGAGAGTGAGCTTATTACCATCCCTTAGAATGTTTTCCCCGTTATTTCAGGCTCAATAATAATCTCTTTCACAACTTCAACTGGCTAAAGAGCAAGAAGGTGAAACTGTCAATCTATGACAGGATGGGTAAAATGCCAAAAAATGGCAAAATGAAAACTATGAATTTTCTGAGTCATCTCCAGAGAATAGCATATGACAATAATACAAGCAGAGAAGTTTATCTGTTGGGATCAGAGATACAGTAAAACTTTTATTAACACTAAATTTCAGGATGAACAAAAGACAGTTCTGTCACTCAAATAACCAGAGTCTAAAATATGGGCATCATCCCCATTCCACAGATGAGGAAACTAAGACTAAAAAAAACAAATGATTTGCCCAAGTCAAGAAATTAGTAAATAGCAGAGCTGGAACTTGAATTCATGTATTTATGCAATAAGACTTACTGACTGCCCACTATATCTCAGACACTGTGACACTGTACTAGGCCCTGAGCCATCTGAATGATGGCCTAGGGAAATTCAAAACAGTCTCTCTCACTTCTTTATATGCTGCTTTAATTTGTTCCCATGTGTCATTGTGTAAGGCTCCACTGTTGACTACGACAGTCACTAGCAGCATAGCTATTTTACATTTAATTGCAAAAAAAAAAAAAAAAAAAAAAAAAAAAGAAAGAAAGAAGAAAGAAAGAAAGAAAAAAGCCAGCTGCTACAGAATTAGACTGCACAAACATGATAAAATATAAAACATAAAACATTTGGTATTGGGCAGTGGTCACACATGCCTTTAATCCCAGCATTTGGGAGCCAGATGCAGGTGGATCCCTGTGAATTCAAGGCCAGCCTGGTCTACAGAGTGAGTTCCAGAACAAAGCTACAGATAAACCCAAACCCTGTCTCAAAAAAAACAAAATAAGCCTGGTGGTGGTGGTACACCTTTAATCCCAGCACTTGGGAGGCAGAGGCAGGCAGATCTCTGTGAGTTTGAGGTCAGCCTGGTCTACAAAAGCTAGTTCCAGGACAGGTTCCAAAGATACACAAGGAAAACCTGTCTCAAAAAAGAAAAGAAAAACAAATAAATAAATATGTTTGGCTGGGTGGGTTGGGACATAATGAAAATCTCATCACCTAGTAGCCTAATGTTGGATGACTACAGTGAGTGCTACCCTAGGATACAGAGTGAGAGCTTGGCTCAAAAAATTAAAAATGGCAGTAAGCTACCTGAGCTCCATTCCTGAACACCACACACAAAAAGGCAAATGCAGTGGCTCATACCTGTAATCCTAACACTCCTACAGTTCAATGGGAGACAGAGACAAGAGTCCCCTGGAAACTCACACGCCAGCCAGCCTGGAGTATACAGCCAAACAAAAATAGGAAACAGCATAAATAAGGTGGAAAAAGAAAACTGCCTCCCAGAAATTGTCCTCTAACCTCCACATGTGCATCATGACATCCATGTATGCCAATAATAAAAAAGCATGTATTTGTATATATGTATATACACATGTATGTGAGTGTATGTATGTAGTATATTCATGTGTGTTGGTGTGTGTGTATGTGTGTTTGAGTATGTGTGTGAGTGTGTGTGTGTGTACTGTTTTGGTCTTTGTCCTTGTTTCCAGCAAGGAATCCATAAAACATGATTATCTAAGTAATAGGAATACCTTTTACTAGCTATAAGAAGCCCCCTTTGGTGTTCATGGCATTAAGGTGACAGAATGGGTCCCTAGATAGTCTTTGGGTGGGGGTGGTCACAGGAAGAATTAGTGATCCCCATCCCCATCCATCTAACTCCTGCCTGCCAGGAATGGAAGAGTGAGTGTGGAGGGAACTTCAGAACAATCCCTGCAGAGAGAGATCTGTGTAGCCCTGGGACTGGTGAGAAGCATGCAGTGCTGGGTAGGCATAGAGCATACACCAACACCTTCACCCGACGCTACTCATCCTGTTCTATGTGTCCCTTCCAGTGTTTATTCCCAAACTGTACTTCTCTCATCATAAACCAGCAAAAATAAGAAAACTCTTCTTCTGAGCTCTGTGAACTTTTACATTGGTGTCTGGGGCTTTTGTTTGCTTGCTTGTTTGTTTGAGATGGTTTTACTGTGTAGCCTTAGCTGGCCTGGAATGTATTGCATTATACAGATCAGGCTAGCTTCGAACTCAGAGATCTGTCTGCCTCTGCCTCCTGAGTGGTGCTAGGATTAAAGCTGTGCCTCATCATGCTCTGCTCAATAGGTTTTTTAAAACAGGGTATCAAGTAGTCCAGGCTGGCTCAAATTTCTGATCCCCCTGCCTTTATTTCCCATGTGCTGAGATAAAAGGTGTACATCACACCTGATCTATTCTATTAAATTACCAAACTTAAGGAGAGAGTAAAGGAAACCTCCAAGTTAGAACTGGCTGGTCATCTTTAGGAGCACCTGAAGGGTGGCAATCTTGTGGGACAGATCCCCTTTTACTATAGGATCTGATATTAATTCAGGGTTGATAATGCCAGAATTGAATAAAAAGTTGTTGGACATCTTGTTGGTGTCCAGGAAAACTAATGAGAACATATCTGTAACAATACCATCAGCACATAAAGTTCTATCGAGTGACACTCTAGAGCCAAGGTTAGGGCCAGGGAGAGGGCGGTTCAGTGGGTAAGGTGCTTACCACCAAGCCTGATGACCCGAGTTCAAACCTGGAACCCCCAGCTCTGATCTCCACTAAAATGTTATAGCATGTCCCCAAGACACAACTGCATAAACAAAACAAACAAATGTAAAAAAAGGAAAATTTAGTTTTGATCACAACTCAACAGTGGTTAAAGAATTCTGAGATCAGAATCTGAGACAGTAATTCAAATTAGCACCTCCCTGAACTAAAGCCATTACATTCTGATTGGACCACAGCCACCTCATTGCTTGGTCCTTTCAAGGTGGCACCTAATGATAGCCCTTCTTAGAGAAGCTAGATACACTATAGGGAAGCCAACGGCTCAAGTTACCCACAAAACCTACACAAGATGCTAGGATTAAAGCTCACAGTTCCCACCTAATTATTTTCCCTCCTGAGCTCTCACTGTGAATCTGGCACAGCTGTCAGACTGACAGATCCACTTGTAAGCTGTCAGCCACTATCACAGGCATTATCTGACAGGGAACAGACACCAGTGAGGTGAAAACTGACTGCTGAAAGGTAGCAGGCTTTTCATCTCCAAAGTCCCCAAAGTGTCACATAAATAAATGCCCACATGAAATTGGCACTAGCAGCCATGGAGAGTACACTAACAAGAAAATCTGTCTTTAGGCAGAAAGAGGTGTGAATCCTGGAGCGTGGGGTGAGCTCCACCTCACTAAGTCCCAGCCAGCATAAAACAAGGAACTTAATTACAGGCTGCCGACTGCCAGCTTGAAAACCACTGGTAAGCCACTTAATGCGAGGATGAAATACACCGCACAGTAGTCTCCAAGGCTAACGGCACAGCTTTATGAGCCATGGATCTACACAGCCTTCTGACAGGAAAAACTATAAAAGACTCTAGAAAGAGAGAAATCCCTCCCCTATGTCTTCCTCTCAGCAAGCCAACTACCCACGGGAGGGCGCTGGGAGGAATCAGTCTGCTCAATGTTCTTCTGAACACAAATGATCATTTAAAATACAGAGGCTGGGGTGCATACTCTTGAAAGAGGCAAGGGAGAGGCACACCACACAAATACTTTACAGCTGGTTCTTAAAATTCTTACTAATTTAGAAATCTTCCCATGTCAATAAATTGAGATCTGCCTTATTTCATGTATGCATTTTTTTGCGGTTGATTTTTTTGAGACAGGGTCTCTCACTATGTAGTTTTAGATGGCCTGGAACTCACCATCTAGACCAGGGTGGCCTGGAATTCATTCAGATCCCCCTGCCTGTGCTTTCTGAGTGCTAAGATTAAAAGTGTATGCTACCATGCCCAGCTTTTAGTTTTTACTGATTTGTTTTTATTTCGTTTTTACTGTTATGTGCATGTGGAGGACACACATGTGGAGGTCAGAGGACAACGTGCAAGAGTCAATTCTCTCTTTCTACCATGTGGCTTCAGAGTAGTCAAGACCTCCAGCTTGGTAGCAGGTGCCTTTCCCCACTAAGTGATCTTATGACCTGGACTGTGTTTCTGGGGCAGGGTCTCATAGCCCCAGCTGGTCACACTCACTGCAATACTCCTGTCATAGACCAGAGAGCTCGAATCAAAGCATGAGTTATGATGCACAGCTTTGTTTCATAGATCCTAAACCATGTGGTCCAGACTAGCTCCAAGTTCAGTCCTGCCTCTTGCGTTGTTTATGGGAATATACCACAATACCTGGCAAGACTTATTTTCATTCCCTCATTCCATAGTTTGAAGGGGCGTGTGTACATGTTTAAAGCGTGTGGCAGTGAGTTTGCAGGTGCACATGTGCATGCATGGGCCAAAGCAGGCTTTCCTCTATCACTCTTTACTATAGTGCCACGAGTCAGGGGCTCTCACTCAACAGGAAACTTGTGATTCAAGCTAGACTGGTTGGCCAGTGAGCTCTTGGCAGCCACTGTCTCTGCCCTCCAATGCTGGGGTTACAAGAATACATGCCATGCCTGGCTTTTGATGTGCGTTCTGGAGATTTGGGCTCAATTCCTCATGTTTCTAACACCATTTCCTTAGCGCCCCCTCCTGCCCCCCTCCACACAGGGTCTCTCTGTAGCTTTGGAGCCTGTCCTGGAACTTGACCTGTAGACCAGACTGGCCTTGAATTCTCAGAGTTCCACCTGTCTCTGCCTCTTGAGTGGTGGGATTAAAGGCGTGTGCTGCCATCTGGCTCCTTAGCTTTTTTTTGTTGTTGTTGTTGTTGCTGTTTTGTTTTGTTTTGTTTTGTTTTTTTTGTTTTGAGACAGAGTAGTCTTTGACTGTCTTTTAACTTGTGGCATTCCCCTTCATCTGAGGCTTCCTGGGTACTGAGATTACAAGCTTGGGCCACTACATACTGCTAAAATGCTTCTCCAGTCTTTTTAAAGCACAAACACCAATTTAGTGCTCATTTAGTAGAGGCTGGTAAGCCTCAGATCAAGGCACACACATAGTGCACATACATATGTATTTGCAGGCAAAACAAAACTCGTTATCCCTATTGCTAATCTGAAAATAAAGTAAAGCAAACAAGCAACTATCTGAAGAATGTAAGCCCTAGAGTGGGAATGTGGTGGGGGCCATAGTAGAATGAGTGCAGTGGAAGGTGCTGAATTCCCTGCTACCGGCTCCCACCTTGCTTCCGACAGCCTGGGATTTTGATAAAGGCTCCATAGTCTGTCACCATAGCAACCTATAAAGACAAAATAAAAAATCAATATTGCACAACTGAGAACCAATCTTTCCTCTTTATATTTTCACAGAGGATTTCAGGTAATGCAGACCAGCCTCCAGCTCACTGAGTGGGCATGACTGAGCATGAAGTAAACTGCCTTCTTCCCAGACCCTTTCATCCCTTCACCTGAAGCAATCACCGTTTCAGCCTCATCTCAACAAAAGGACACAAGATGCTCACTTGCTCTGATGTTCACTAGCATTTAATATTCACTGCATACAACACTTCAAAAAATCCTCATGGCTGCACAGAGTTGATATTGTCGTTCACATAAGATAATAAGCAGATGCACGGAGAGACTACCCAAGTCCAGAACTCTGGAATAGCAGCCCTGGAATCTGAACTCAGTCTTAATTACACAAGAGCTGTTCCTGGATTCCTTCTCATGATAAAACTGTAAGGGCCAAAGACAATGTGAGGGCTGTGATGTCAGACATCTGTTCTCTCCTGGAGTACGCATGGGAACATCCAAAGTTGCAGATGAGACAACAGAAAGAGTGAGGACTTCGCAGCGGAAGGTGTGGCTTCTAATCCTAATCATTTCCTACCTGTGGCCTAAACTCCATTTGCTGCTACAGGTAGCAAAAGATAAACACTGTGTACCTGGCACTGGAGTCTAACACAAGATGCACATTCAACAGTGTATCATTCTTGATAACTTGTAATTCAAGACTAAGTACAGAGAGACTAAGGCTGATAGAGTCAAGCTAGGGGCAGAATTTGGGTCCCTGGAGCCCCAGGTCTCCTGCTTCACCAAACATCAGTATTACTCACTTCAGTGTTAGATGGTATAATTTTTTTAGAATTTCATTCTCCTCTTTATCATTGTTTACTCATTATATTTTTTGGTGTTTTGTTTCAATACAGGGTCTCACATTGTAGCCCAGTCTGACCTGAAACTCATGGTAATCCCCAGGCTCAGAATCTCAAGTGCTGAGAATGTATGCACAAACCACTATAACTGGCTGTCTGCATGTTGTTGCTTTTTTGAGACAGGATCTCACTATGAAGCTCTGGTTGGCCTGGAACTCATTATGTAGGCCAGACCCGCCTTAAACTCAGAGATATGCCTGCCTCTTCTTCCTAAGTGCTGGGATTAAAGACATTCACATTTAAAAAACAAAACAAAACTTTTATGTGTATGGTATAGATGTTTTGACTCCATGTATGTCTGTATACCGTGTTCTTGGAGAGTCCACAGAGGCCAGAAGAAAGTGTTGGATCCTCTGGGACTAGAGTTACAAATGTTTGTGTGACACCACATGGGTGCTGGGAATCAAACCTGGGTTTTCTGGAAGAGAAGCTGGTGCTCTTACCACTGAGCCATCTCTCCAGACCAATGCATTAAAACAAACAAACAAACAAAAAAAAAACAACAAAAAAAAACCCACTTATTTTGTGTTGTGCATACACATACATGTGCCATAGCATGTGTATATGGAAGTCAGGGAACAACTCAGAGAAATCAGTTTTCTCCTTCCATCAGTTAATTTTAGGGATCAAACTCAGGTGGTTAGGCGTGGTGGCATGTGCTGTTACCCATTGAATTATCTTGCTGACCACTCTACTCATTTTCAAATGGAAACACAGAGACAGGATGCTTGAACTAATTCTCTAAGACACCCACAAAGGAAGGGTTATAACCCTAAAGTTCTATACTCCTGGGATAAACAGACTAACAAGCTATGAGAAGGCAAGGATCGAAAAGTTCCAAAACAAAAACAAACAAGCAAACAAACAATTAAGAAAGATATTAAAGGGGCTGGAGAGACGGCCCAGTGTTTACGAGCAGCTGTTGTTCCCGGCACCCACACAACCATCAGTAACTCCAGCTCCTGGAGATCCAGTACCCTCCTCAGGCCTCCACAGGCACTGCATGCATGTGGTACATAGATGTATGCAAACAAAACATGCTTGTACATAAAATAAAGATAGATATGTTTTTAAAAGAAAGATATTAGATACTAGCTGCTCCAGCCAAGCACAGTGGTGCACACCAGCAGATCTAACAGGAGGGATGGGGGAGGGGCAGTAAGTATGAAGCAGGAAGACTGCCACGAGACCAAGTTTACAGAAAGTGAAATCCTATCTCAAAAACAAAACAACAAAGACATCCTCTGGTCTAATTCTGTCATTTTTCAAATGAGTTAAGATCAGAGCTAAAAAGCACTTAACCACATTCACAAATCAATTTGTTCTATGTGAAAATGGCCCCAGATGAAGAAATGGTTCCCTTTTTAAAAAATTATTCTATTTATTTATTTTAGGAATGAGTATTTTGCCTGATGCAAAACGTGTACTATACGCATGCCTGGTGCCCAGACAGGTCATGGAAGGACACTGCATCACCTGGAAGCAGAGTTACAGATGATTGTGTGCCACCATGCCGGTACCAGAGAAAGAACCTGTGTTCTAGGTAAGAACAGCAACGGCTCTTAATCACTGGGTCATCTTTTCAGCCCTAAGACTTTCCACTTTTAGTAAAAATAAAAGCAAATGTTTTCTTTCTGTCTCACCTAAAGCGCTTTGATTGACATTTGCTCTAGGATTCAAAAAACCAGGCTGAGCAATCTCTGTATGGTATTATTAAGGAACACAGTCATCGGAAAAGCTTAACAACAGCATCTGGAAGTTAGGGCCCAAACCACCTTGTTGCTGTAAATCAGGACAAAATAACTTCTCAATCCCGAAGCTCCAGGGTCACATTATTGTCTTTAGAGGTAATAACAGACTTTAATTTTGCCTCTCCCAAAAGGAAAGGTTACTACTGTGCTTCAGAATAGACACTTTCAATTCTTCAGTAAGGAAAAGATATTCTAGCACCAGGTGTTTCCATATCACTGTGTCTCCTAGGGTACAGTCAGAGCTGAAATGAACAGGATGGCACCTGTCACAGATGAGCATGCAGTCTTCCTGGGTCCCAAGAATAATCACTCAGAAGACTCAGGAGGGCAGAAGGGGAAAATTCAGCAATTACTCAACTGAAACTCAGGGCCTGGGTAAAATTAATTTCCATCTTTAGATAAGAGCCTGCACTGGTCTTGAAACTTGTTCTCATAACGTAAACGATGAACCTGAGGCTCAGAGTTCCTGGTGCAAAGTGAGACAGTAGCACATCCAGGCACAGAAGAGTGATTTAATTTTACTCTAGTGATATTTCTACCACACCAACACTAATCACCCTCCAGCATTTCTGACAAACCCTAGCTCTCATTGCTATCCTCACACCCTCACAATGTTTAATAAGACACTGCAGCAAGATCTCAGAGGACAAAAAGAGAATGGATATTGGCTTCTCATCTATTCAGTCTGTACTCTGCTACCATCGATGCTCAGCCCATTAAGAGATAAATCCTAGAACACAAGCTGGACCAGTTTCTCCAAGGACAACCCGTCCTACCAGCTGCAGGCAGTTGTATTCCAATATTTATACAGCAGCTATGTATGCCAGGTACCAAGCCAGAGTTTGAAATAAAAAACAACTTTTAAAATACAAATGGCTAACCTGTTTTTAAAAGAACATGGATGGCCAAGATAAATCACTACAAGCAGTTAGTGAATAAAACTATTACAGTGCAGCATGAAAACACCCTGATTTACCATCTACCTATCCACTGCCACTCACTTCAAACAATTCTCTCATGCAGCTTCTGGTTCCTCCATATATTTCAGTGCAGTCATACAACCCCAGCTAGAGCTTGGCGAGAGCAGACTTAGAAGACTTAGGACCCTACCTTGGTCATTCCTTAATCACTGGGTGGTTTCTTAGCTTCTGAGAAGCGAGACTTAGCCTCTAAAAGGAGTTAGTTTTATGGAGATAATCATAACATGGACTGTGTGTATGTGTGTGCATGGGCATGTGTCTGTGTGCAAACACACTTTAGGAGTTCATCCTTTTTTAAATTTTGTTCGTTTGTTTGCTTGTTTTTAGATAGGGTCTTATAGTGTAGCTCTAGCTGGCCTAGAACTTATTATTTACAGCAGGCTGGCCTTGAACTCAGAAATTGGGCTGCCTATACCTCTCAAATGCTGGAACAAAATGTTGAGACAGTACACCTGGCCAATGTTTTCAATCTTAATGTAACTGATTCTGCATGTAAATATTAGCTGATAAACTCACTCTGTAGACCAGGCTGACCTCAAACTCCCCTGGCCCTGCCTCCCTTGGATTAAAGGTGTACACTATTACACCTGACTTGTCTTTTCTTTTAATTGGTTTGTTCAAGACAGAATTGATGGGGGAGGTCTTTCTGTATGCTGTGAATGTTTCTCTTATTGGTTTGGTAAATAAAGCTGTTTTGGCCAATAGACAGGCAGGATGTAGCCAGGTAGGAAGCATAGGCAAGACTACCAAACTAGAATACTGGGTAGGGAAATACTGAGAATTGCCAGGGAGATGCCATATAGACACTGAAGGAGTAACACGGCGGAGCATTACAGATATGCCACAGCCAAGTGGCAATACGTAGTTTAATAGAAATGGGTTAATAATTAAGAGAGAGCTAGCCAATAAGAAGCCTGAGGCATTGGCCAAACAGTTTATAATTAATAAAAGCCTCTGTGTTTATGTGGGACTAAGGGGCTACAACACTAGATGGGACAGAAACCTCCATCCACACAGAATCTCACTTCGTAGCCCAGGCTGGCTTAAAGTTCCCTTGCATGAACTTCTCAAGGGCTGGGATTACAGGTACACACAAGTTTGTCTGGACAACAGTGCTCTCTTACACCATGTGCTGCTGAAAAAGCAATCAAAACTATGAAGTCCTTTGGCATTCTGGAGGTGGAGGGGAGGGAATCACAAGTTTACAAACTCCAAGTCGGCCTGCACTACACAGTGACTTCTAGACTGTCTAGTGTGTTGTCAACACAGCACAAGTTGGAGTTATTTGAGAAGAAGGAACCTCAACTGAGAAATGCACCCACCAGACTGGTCTATGGGGCATTTTCTTGATTAATGATTGATATGGGAGGTCCCATCACACTGTGGGTGGTACCACCTTGGGCAAGTAGCCCTGAGTTGTTTTAAGAAAGCAGGTTAAGCAAGCCACTGGGAGCAGGGCAAAGCTGCCTCTGCTTCCATTCCTATTTCCAGGCTCCTACCTAGAGTTGCTGTCCTGACTTCTCTTATGGACTGCGATATGGAAATGAAACAAACCCTTTCCTCCCCAAGTTGCTTCTGGTTAAGGTGTTTCATCAAAGCAACAGAAATCCCAAGAAAGACAGAGACCAACCTAGATTAGCTAGTGGAGATCCTGCCTCAAAACAAAGAAAAAAATAAAAAGAGGTTGGGTATAGTGATGACACACACCTTTAATCCCAGCACTCAGAAGACAGAGGCAGATGGCTGAGGCTAGACTGGTCTAGAGAGTGAGTTCTAGGCCAACAAGGGCTACAAAGTGAGACCCTGCCTCAATAAATTATTTTTTGAAAAGCCATGAAGTTCTCTCTTCCCCCAGACCATCCTTCTTAATAGTAACTTATAAAAAACACATATTAAGCTAATTGTAGTAATTCATGCTTGTAATTCCAACATGTGGAAGGCTGATATAGGAGGACTATATCAAGGCTTGACTACAAAACAAACTTGGGACCAGTATAGGCTATAAATTGAGACCTATCTCAAAATCTCAAAATTGACCAAAATCAGGGCTGGCAAATGGTCACCAAGCCTAACAATCTTAGTTGAACTCCTAATCCTCCATCCCCTCAGTGCTAGGACTATAGGCTTGCACTATCACACCCTGTTTTTGTGGTGCTAGGGACAGAACCCAGGGACCTCCTGCATGCTGGGCAAGTTTTCTACCAACTGAGCCACATTCCTAGCTATGATCTGTTTTTGGAATATTATTCTGGGTGCAGTGTCATGAACAGATTGGAGAGAGGCTGCACCAGAAGTGGGAAATTCCAGTCAGAGCCAAGCAAGAGATGAAGAGCTTGGACTAAGGGGTAGCAAAGGCATAAATAAGCATGTAGACTGGAAATATAATTAGGACTCAGAGAGGAACTAGAGAGGGAATCAAAGGGTGAAATTAAGGACAATGACAAGATTTCTAGCTTTGGCACCAAATGGATAACAATTCCATCTGCTAAAATGGAAAAAGACTGGTAAAGAAAGCTAAGTTAGAGATGCTTTCATGCACTAGAATGAAGGTGTCAAGCACACAGAAGTCTGTAGCATAGGAAAGGCTGTATGTACATGAGTACCACAGGGCCCAGTGCCTTTCCCATTCAAGATAGCTTCAACTTTACAAGAGAATAACCCCAGATGCTTTCCTTCCTCAATGTTCTTAATATACTCTAAAAGGGAAGTTTCAAAGTGCAAAACATACCTCTCCTTGAAAAATAGTATAGAGTGCAGGCAAGTTTTCCATGGTCTCAGGCCTTCCTGAATTCATCCTTAACATTCTACGGCTCCTCCATTTCTCTTCTGCTAAAGCTAATTCAAATGTCCTTTCAGAAAGAAACAACAATTAGAGAGACATCTGTATCAAAAAAGAAATGAGGGGCTAGGGACAAGAGTTTTCCTGTGTAGCTCAGGCTGCCCTTGAACTTGTGGAGATATCCCTGCATCTGCCTCCTTGGTATTGGGATTACAGGCATGTGCTACCTTGATTGGCTTTGTTCAGGATAGTTTTCTGTTTGTGTATAATATATATCAAATCTAGATCTTGCATATGCTAAGCAAGACTTGACTACTGAACTGCATCCCCCACAGCCACTGTTTTGAGATGTGGTCTCACTACATTGCCCAGGCTACTTCTAGACTCCTGTTAAGTCCTGAGATGAAGCAATCTTCCTACCTGAACCTCCCAAATCACTACCACAGGGATGTGCCATCACACCTGGGTGGTTTCATTCTTTTTATTACTACTATTGTTATTCATTTGTCAGGGGAAGACTTTTGGAAGAAAGGGTATGTGTGCCTAGATCTGATACACATCAGAAAGAGACATCTCAGGCCAGGGTGGTGAGGGATTTAATTCCAGCATTTGAGAGGTAAAGGTAGATCTCTGAGTTTGAGGCCAGCCTGGTTTACAGAGTGAGTTCCCAGGACAGCCAAGGCTACATAGAGAAACTCTGTCTTGAAAAACAAAACAGAACAAAACAAAAAGGCACGAATGTAAGAATGGTAATAAGAACGAAATACATGGTTTTTTTTTGTTGTTGTTCCTTTTCTTTTCCTTCCTTCCTTCCTTCCTTTTCTTGGTGGAGATAGGGTTTCTCTGTGTAGCTTTGTAGACCAGGATGGCCTGGAACTCACCTGCCTCTGCCTCCTGAGTGCTGGGATTAAAGGCATGAACCACCACTGCCCCGCCACAAAACACATCTTAAGACACAGGTTCTGTTCTTATTATGTCACTAATGACTAAAGACTTTTAGGGGTCAGATCACTAAGCTTATGCCAGAAACCTAACAACGAAACCAGGTGTAATGGCCCTTGCCTGTATTTCCAACAATCCTAGCACTAAGGTAAGAGCCAATCATGAGTCTGAGGCTAGCCTGGGGTACAAAGAAAGTCTGAGGTCTATGATTGGGGATACAGCTCAGTAATAAAGTACTTGTTTAGCATGCATTATAGTGAGGTGGGGAGAAAGAACAGAAAGTTTGAAGACAGCATTATAGTGAGACCTTGTCAGAAACAAACAAACAAACAAAAAACCCAAACCCTAGCAACAGTAGAATTTACTTGATCCCAGAGACTAACCATCTTAGCCAGAATTCTAGACAGAGATCTGGAAAACATCACAAAGAGAAGTCTTTAATCCCAGCACTTAGGAAGCATAGGCAGGTAGCTAGCTCTCTGAGTTTGAGGCCAGATTGGCCTACAGTGAGCTGCAAACCAATCAAGGTCATACAGTAAAAAGGGAAATTTTATTTATTTTATTTTACATGTGTGCAGGGGCCACAAAAACTAGAAAGGAGCATCAGATCCCCTTGAACTGGAGTTAAAATTGGTTGTGAGTCATCTAATATGGGCACCAGGAACTGAACCCTGGTCCTCTAGAAGAGTAGCAAGCTTTTTTTCTTTTTTAAGACCTACTTATTTATTAGATACACAGCATTCTGCCTCCACGTATGCCTGCAGACCAGAAGAGGGCACCAGATCTCATCATAGATAGCTGTGAGCCACCATGTGATTACTGGGAATTGAACTCAGGATCTCTGGAAAAGGAGTCAGTGCCCTTAACCTCTGAGCCATCTCTCCAGCCCGAGTAGCAAAAATTCTTGATGGCTAAACTGTTTCTCCAGCCTCTCTATGTGTTTTTAATACAAAATATAATATAAAATCTTCAGAGGCTGGTGAGATGGTTCAGTCATAAGGTGCTTACTATGCAATTATGAGAACCTGAGTTCCATCCCCAGCATCCAAGTAAAAAAGCTGGGCACAAATGTGCGTGTGGGCTTGCTATCCCAGCTCTCAGGAGGCGAGAATAGGAAGGTCCCTGGAACATGGTGACCAGCAAATCTAGTTGAATCAATGAGTACCACATGTAGTGAGAAATACTGTTTCAATGAAGTGGAGAGTAATTTTAAAAGACCACCAATATCAATCTCTCATCTCCATATATATGCATGCATACCTGCACGAAAACATGTACACACAAATAGAAATACACAGGATGGAGGCTAATCTGTCCATTCTTGAGAAATGCCTCATGAAAAGTTATGTGATCTCATCCACAGACTTTCCCTTCTTCTTGTCCAGCATCCCTTGCCTGACATGCCAGAATAGGTATTATTAATTTGAATTCTATGGTTCTATTAAGAGACCTTTATTAATCCCTGCAATATTTGAAAAGTTAATTAGTGAAGTATAGAATCTGTAATAGCACTGGGACAGCTAAAATGAGGGCAGACATTACAGTTCCTCTCTACACAAAATCATGGAAAGAGCGATACACCAGGAAATAGATCTAAGCTGTTTCTTGCAAAATTAGGCTGTGAGAGTGTGAAGAGGGCTGGAGAGATAGCTTCAGCAGTTAAGAGCACTGGCTGCTCTTCCAATGAAGCCAGTGTCTATTTCCAGCACCCACATGGTAGCTCACAACAGTATGTAACTCCAGTTCCAGGGGATCTAATCCCTTTTTCTGACCTCTTTAGGCACCAAGCTTATACATGAAGCACATACATACATTAAGGCAAAACATCCATATACATAAAATGCTAATTCTAAAAAACAAACAAACAAATCTAAAGAGTATCAAGAGCTACTTCTAAAGCTTCCTTTACTTTTTCTTTTTGACAGATCCTAAATAGCCCTGGTGGTCCTGGAACTCTATGTAGACCAGACTAGTTTCCAACTCACAGATAATCCACTCACTGCCTCTGCCTGCTGAGTGCTGGGATTAAAGGTATGCACCACCACCACAACCAGCCTAAAGCTTTTTTGTTTGATCCTCCCACAGAACAGAAACCTTATGAAGTTTTTCTTTCTTTCTTTTTTTTTTTTTTGGGGGGGGGGAGGTCTTTTTTTTTTTTTTTTTTTTTTTTTTTTTTCAATACTAAGGACTGAACCAAAGGCTTCATCCTCAGCCCCTGGCTTTGTGAGCTAGAATGTCACTATGTAGGGGCTCACTATGTGAGATGCCTCAGAGGTTGAAATTAAGTATTACTTTTCCAGAGGACTCAGTTTGGGTTTCTACATGGTGGTTCATAACCATTCACAACTTCAATTTCAAGAGACCTGATGTCCTCTCTAACTACTGCTAGCACCAGGCATTCATAAGGTACAAATGCATATATACATGCACTCAAGAGACAGAGGTAGGTGGATCTCTGAGTTCAAGGACAGCCTGGACTACATAGTGAATTCCAGGACAGCCAGAGCTACCCCCTATCTTGGGGGGTGGGGGGGAAGGAAAGAAAGAAAGAAAAAGAAAAGTCAATGAGACATTCAATTGCTGTTCCCTCCCCTCAGATGACCTTATCTTCTGTCAAGCTGACATGAAACCAGTCAGGACACTAACACACATAAAATTTATTTTATTTTATTTATTTTTTGATACAGGGTTTCTGTGTAACAGCCCTGGCAGTCCTGGAACTTACTCTGTAGACCAGGCTGGCCTAGAACTCACAGAGAGCCACCTGCCTCTCCCTCCAAAGTGCTGCAATTAAAGGTGTGCATCACTACCACCCAGCTACAAATAAATTTTTAAAAAACATTAAAAAGGAAAAAGACTACCACTATGTACCACAAGCTGGCTTCAACTCAAATTCTACTGGCTTTGCCTCCCAAGTAGTGGTATCACAGGCATGAACCACATCTGATTCCCTGTGCAATTCAGGAAGGGGGATGAAATAAAGTGTCACTCTAGCAGCCTGGCATAGGTTAAAAATCACAGTGTTGCCCAGGCTAGGCTTAATTTTATAGCAATACTGTGTCAGCCTCCAGTGTTGGTATTAAGACTATAATCCTCCCACCAGAAGGCACATGCCTTTAATCCCAGCACTCCGGGAGGCAGAGGCAAGCGGATCTCTGTGAATATGAGGCCAGCCTGGTCTACAAAGTGAGTTCCAGGACAGGCTCCAAAGCTACACAGAGAAACCCTGTCTCAAAAAACAAAACGAGCATAATCCTCTCTTTCATCCAGTCCATTACCAAATCCTATCCAATTTACTTCCCAGCTATCCCCATTATAATGTGAAACTGTCTTCAATCCCATCTCCAGCTTAGCTCTCACTGACATTGCTGATCAGAACTACTGTGCTTGCTTCCAAAATGGCCCATTTGCCTCCAATAAACCGCCCATCATCTCTCCAATCTTATAACACCATTAAGCATGAAGGAGCAAGCCATCTCCATCTCCACACCCCATGCCCTGGGGAGGGAAAGACAAAACTTTCATTGGTTTCATATTCATTGTAAAGTTAAAGCTACAAATTCCTGCAACTCTTCATGATCTCCAGGTTCATCTCATACCATACTCTGCTTCAGGGGCTCTCTCAGCACAATGGCTCTTTGTGCCTCTTAGTCATCTTCTTCCCAGATGATAGGGCACGACTGCACACGCAGTTCTGTGAAGAACGTTCTGCCTTCTTCCTCTCTTCCCCCAATTAGAACTGTCTCATCAAACAGCAACAGTTCAGGCATCTTTTCCTCTGAAAACCCTTCAAGCTCATTAGCTACTCATTGCATGAGGCATGGCTCTCTTCGCTAGTCTTCCAATCAACTGGTGAGATTTGTTTAAAATGTTTCGCACACACACCCCAGGAGACACTAAAGCCCTGAAGTTAAGGACCACGTTTCTTCAGTGTTCTCCAACGCCCTGCACGATAAATATCACTTGTGCCACTTACTAGGCCTGGTACACAAGCATGACTCTTAGATTTCTCAACAAAATTGTGCTTTGGAGGAGCCATCGGAAATTTCCTCCATCACTGTCTGTCTGGGGGCATAAATTAAGCTTTAAAAAAAAAAAAAAAAGACGACTAAAGCAATGGTATAAACTAAGTCCGCCTCCTCAGCCAAACCCGGCACTGAAGCCGGGAGGCCGGGAGCCGGGCATCACGCTAGCATAGCGCTAGAAGCAAAAGCGGCGTTTACAGAGCAGCTGGCTGTCAAGGGAGAGTGGCCTTAGGGTTCGAGTTCTGCGGTCAGAGATCCCAAAGCTCCGCTCTAGCCTGCCAAGGGACTACTTTTTCCGGGAACTCCCCACCCCCAACCCCCGGCAGGACCGTCAGCTGAGAGTGGTAGGCTCAGGCCTATCACCTAGTCGCTGATTAGAACAGCCACCCTCCTCGTTCCCCACAGACTTACTCCGCGCCACCTCCTAGCCTGGCAGCCGCTTCATCGCCGGGGATGCCGAACCTGCTCAGCTCGTTCCCAACCCACAATGCACAGCGCGCCTAAGGCGGGACGTCAGCTACACGCTCCAATCCCAGGGTGGAACCCTCGTGGCGTCATCAAGAAAGGACCAATCGCAAGAGTTCATTCAGAGGGCGTTGCAGAAGGGAATGTTGGGAGCCAATTGGTTGCTCTTTTCCGGAAGTTCTGGAGGAAGAACTCTGTTGGAGCCAATTGCGCGGCGCCTGCGGCCGGCGGCGCGGTCAGTGGCGGCGCCGAGGAGAGTGGTTACCGCCATGATCGAGCAGCCAAAGCGCAAAGGCCCGGAGCTGCCACTGGTTCCTGTCAAGCGGCCGCGACATGAGTTGCTATTGGGAGCGGCCGGGTCCGGTCCCGGAGCCGGACAGCAGCAGGCGACTCCGGGAGCTTTGCTGCAGGCGGTAAGTGGGGAGGCATCCCGCCTTCGGCCCTCCTCTCCTTAACCAATAGACTGTACCTGCGCTGCGGGAACGGAAAGACAGTGAAGCTGAAGTTAAAGCAGGCCTCTGTAAAGATGCTTTGTGTGCTGCGTCTGTTTCATACTTGTTTCCCTCAGGGGCTCCTGCTTTCAGCCTTTCAATCATTGAATCGTTTAAAACCGTGGCCTCAAAAATCAAGATCCAAACTTCCGCATCCTAAATCTTCAGGGATTCAGCATAAAATAAACATTCAGAAAAGTTTATAGAGTGGACGAATGAATGAATGGAGAGGGGAAGAAGGGGAATTAATGAAACAGGCTCGATTTGCTACCTGGTACATTTTACTTTTCTCTGAATTTACATTGTTAACAGTAAATTAACATCCGGTGGCTCTTGTGCTAAATGTTTTGCATGTGAAAATTTCATTAATCATGTTAACAGCCTAAAAGGAACTGTTATTTTGCATACGGGAAAGCAAACTTCTTTGAGACAGAACCTATGCTCTTAACATTTCTTGTAAAATAGTTATTATACCTTCACTACTATGATACTAGGATCAGATATGGAAAAAATGTACCTTCTGTCCCAACTCTTTAAATTCTGCTAGTGTGATTTTTAAAATATATAAGAAAAATTAGCAAGTGGTGTGGGGCTGTGGTTGCATCTTTTCAGGAGGCTAACAAGAAAATTTTGAGGGAAGGAGTTGGAGGCCAAGCCTGGGCTGATAGTTCTACTTGTCAAATAAAAATAAATGTACTGCCAATAATCCTGAAATGTCTTTGGTAGATTCCAGTGTACTAACTTATTTTTTTTTAACACAGCAAGATCCCTAACTCAAAAATAAATAGGAAGCTGGACACACACATTTATAATCAACAGGAAGCTGAGGCAGGAGGATCAAGGGTTCTAAGCCAGTGTAGGCTATTATAGAAAAACTCTCTCTTTTGTGTGTGTGTGTCTGTGTGTGTGTTTCAAGACAAGGTTTCTCTGTAACTTTGGAGGCTGTCCTGAAACTAGCTCTTGTAGAGCAGGCTGATCTCAAACTCACAGAGCTCCGCCTGCCTCTGCCTCCCTAGTGCTGGGACTAAAGGCATGCGCCACCATTGCATGGCTAGCAATCCTTACCTCCTCGTCAAACCACTTTTATTTCATCTAGCATCATTGCAAGTTGGGCTTATTAGTATTTCTGGTTTTGTCTTTGAATTGAGGATCAGTTATTAATCTGGTAGTCAGGGGAATCATTAAAACATTAAATCACATGATTCTCTGCTGAAAACATAGTGTTGGCTTTCTGTTTCATTCTGAATTAAAGAAACATCAAATTCTCTGTAATAATTCCCCTTTTCTGTGCTCATCTACCTGTTTTCTAGCATGTCATCTTGCTCAAGTAACACCAGCATGTGTTGTTGCATTTTGTTGTTGTTGTTGTGTTTGCTGGAATGTTATTCCAAATGCCCACATGCTTAACCACAGATTCTTTCAAATCTTTGTTCAGATGCCAGTTTTTCAGTGGGCTCTCCTGACCACTGTATTTTGAGTTGAAGTATCCTGTACTCTGAAACTCATATTATTTCTTTACATTGATTGCATACACTAGGTGTTTTACTTTTTTTTTTTTTTTTGTTTTGTTTTGTTTTGTTTCTCTTCCCATTCTCTCACTCACTTTCCAATAGAATGAAAGGTTCATTGTTTTATTGAGTGCTGCTTCCCCAGTACCTAGATATATTAGGTTTATTTTTATCTCTGTGTGTATCTGTATATGGTATATGTGTTCATCCCATGTGTATGTGGGTATTCTCATGGGTCAGAAGAGATTGTTTGATCCCCTCAGTCTGGAGCTACAGGTGTTTGAAAGCTGCCTAGTGTGGTGCTGGGAAATTAATTCAGGTCCTTTGGAAGAGCAGTAGGTGTTCTAAACCACTGAGCCATCTCTGGCACATGTGCATTATTTTTAATAAGTACACTAGATGAATATGCTCATGGTACATTATTTGCATTACTTTGTATAGTTAATACATGATAATAAAAAATAAGTTAGTACACTGGAACCTACCAAAGAAATTTCAGGATTATTGGCAGTCTACTTATTCTTATTTGCCAAGCAACATTGTCAGCCCAGAGTTGGAAGAATTGCCAAACATATGCTTAATGTCCAAGACCCTAATCAGAAACTGCTTTTCCAAACTGAGCATAGTGATTCATTCACACTTGTATTACCCACACTCAGGAGTACCGAAAATTTAAGACCAGCCTGAGCTACACATCAAAAGCCCTGCTCACACCCCAAAAGTCTATTTTGCATAATAAGTTGTACCATACAGGGTTTTTCAAAGGCTAGTTGGGTGAACTAGAGTGAGAAATGTTGTTCCGCACTCCCAGAGCTTCATTTCTTTGGGGAAAAAGAAACATGTCAGCAGTAACATGAGGAAGGGAACTTCAGGTAGTAGTGGGGCTTTGACAGAGTGCAGTGGACCTAATGGAATACTGGTGGGGTGATGGCTTCTACTTGAGTTTGAGTGTTAAAGAAAGACTCTGCGGAGGAAATATTTCAAAGGAGCCCAGTAGGAGGAGAGCTCTGTGGGAGACATCTTTCTTTGTTAAGATCCTGAGACATAAGTTAGGTCAGCATGACTAAGCAGTCAAAAGTTGATTTTGGAACAAAAGCGGAGTTGGGTAAGAGAGTGGTATGGTTTATCCAGTGAGAGGCAGGAGTTCTGTGAGCAGAGGTGCCATTCCCTAGCCCAAATGAAATGCCTACCCCCGATTGTACAGCTTCCTTTTACTGTGTACTGTGGCTGCCTCATACTTCTCTTTGGTTTAGGGACCTCCAAGGTGTTCTTCCCTTCAAGCCCCAATCATGTTGCTCTCAGGACACGAAGGAGAAGTATACTGCTGCAAGTTTCACCCCAATGGATCCACCTTGGCATCGTCAGGATTTGACAGACTCATATGTAAGGCACAGTTTTTGAATCTAGAGTTACTGCTCTCTACTAGATAATGATTTTTAAAAATTTTGTGTGCCAGAAAGGTTTCAGACATCAGTCTAAATTTGCAGTTTAAATTATAGGGATAACATACTAAAATGGGTGTCAAAATAATGAGCAATCATTCAGGTACAACCATAAGTTCCTGTGGTAAATAAAAAGAAGGAAACATTTGACTAATTGAGAAGTGGGTTGCTTTGGTTCGAGTTATATATTCTCTTTCTCCCTCCCCCTTCTCCCTTCCCCTTCCTTCTTCTATCGTTCTCATGTAGCACCAGCTGTCCTCAAACTGGCTATGTAGTCAGAATGACTTTGGAATGTGTAATCCTCCTGCCCCACCTCCCAAGTTTTGGAATTACAGACGTATGCTACCAAGAGCAGCTGAAGATGCATTTTCCATGGAGATGACTCTTGAGATGATTTAGCAAGAGCATCAGTTTCATATCAGTGGGTTTCTGAGAGTTAAGAGGAAAGAAAGAACTTTTCTACTTATAAAAACACGAGACCTTCATACCTAGGCTCCTAGTATGTGAGGCAGAATAATGGGATCCTCAACTGGTCATTCCCAGAGTCATCTGCTACCAGATTCTGTTACTCATTAGGAATGCCCATATTTGAAAAAAAATAAGTATGCTTTGAAGAGCTGGCTCATCAGCTAAGAGCATTTGTTAGCAGGGAGTGGCTGTGCCTTTAGTCCCAGCTCTCAGAAGGTAGAGGTAGGTGAATCTCTGAATTTGAGGCTAGCCTGATCTATAAAGGGAGTTCCAGAACAGTGAAAAACCCTGTTTTGAAAAGAAAAGGAGGGGAAAAAAGCACTTACTGCTCTTCCAAAG